TTGATTTTCACACCAATAACAATATTAGATTTAGAGTGGTGAATACCGGAAATGTGATTCCAAAATAAGAAATTCCCTTATTTAATGCCAAAGCATATAATCAAATAAATATCAGGGTAAACGGACACAATCACTGTTTAGGACATGTTCCTAGATCCTCGAAATACCTTGGATTACTTAACCACAGATTCACGGTAGTATTACAGTCAACAGAAACAGGACATCAAATAGTTTGTTATAGAAATAAAATTCTTCTGAAAAGTTTGTCTCACATGAAGAAAAATTAACAACCAAAACCCTACATTCACTTGGTATTGTTTGGTTTGTGTCTTCCCATTGAGGTTTAAGACTGCAATTGATCAGTCTGTTATTGGCATATGTACATAATTTGCGTATGCCTCGATATTTCCTTAACTCATAAGCTTTTTGTAAGCAATGATGGATAGTGGCTAGCAGTGGAATCCAGTTTGACGCGCGTTTCGTCCTATTAGGGACTCGTTAGCTGAGTGTATCTGCATCTCAGAGTTGATGTTCACTCTGGGACTCCAACCCAGTACCATTCGCTTCAAACTCCATCGCTTTATCCATTCAGCTACTGAGTCCTGATAGACACTTGCTTGTGCAATGGGGTGAATTTAAAATGACTTAGTATTGTTTGGCTTGTATCTTCCCATTGAGTTTTAACACTGCAATTGATCAGTTTGTTATTGGCATATATGCATACTGTGCATATACCTCGATATTGTCTTAATTAAAGCTCTATATATAATCATAAACCTAAAAATATCAACAAATGAAATGGAGTTTAGTTAAATAAATCCTTCTAACAATTGATTTCTGAATTTTTTTTTTAAAAAAAAGCATTACCTTGAACATTCATTCCTGTTTGTACTACTATAATATTGATGTTAGCAACAATCTAATTGTAATCTATTTCATTGATTGCTATGTCTGAATTTATTTCTAGTTTCTTTAGTTTAACATTAAAACAAAAATAAATCTTAACCATTTATCTAATAAGACATACATTGACTAACTTACTTTGAAGTAGATATAATTTCAATTTTATCATAAACGGAATTATTTATATAATACTAGATGTAGACAAATGTTTCATCTTTTTCGTTGGGTTTTGATAACATTTAAACACATTTATTATGAATATATTTAACATTAAATGATTCATTCTCACGATATATTTATTATTATTAATGACTTTATACAATATTGTATTTTTGATACAATATAGAATTCTCAGAATAAAGTATTTCATTAAGTTTCCTTTTCTTATTTCTTGATCGACCCTTGCGATAAATATTGAGTGATTGCTAGTTAAATGCTAGTAGTCCAGGAATCGACATATGAATAATGTGTATACTTTTTGTTGCATATTGCCAACAACTGCAATATCTCTATTTGGGCTCTTTTGTAACTTGTACACCGAAATGTCGTAAACTTTTCATATGCGCACCTGAATAGGTTATGAAACTAATAGATATAATGGTGGGTTGAAACAAATAAGAAACTAGATAACTTGTTGAAATATCCAGATGGCAGAAACAAGTAACCCAGATATTCAAGCAGGCACTATTTAAATATGATTAGATAAACGGTTATTATATAATTACTTCTGATCATATTTATCTTTAGTAAGTTTGATTTCGATTATTTTTCCAGAAGAAACTTGCACTAGATTAACAGAGTAGATATAAGAACTATTTAAATTTTAGTTACTTAGATTACTGCTTAATTTTACATCTAACGATGATGATCATTTGAATAAATTAATTGATAATGATTAGAAGTTTTAATAAAATAAATATGAGATTAGTAAGACTAACTAAAGTAACTATTGAAAATTAGAAATGAAAACTTGAGTTACTTGAACTATCAAGTTAATACTGTAACTAAATAAAGGATGCCAAAGAGTATCAAGAATGTTTAGATTATCCTATTGTTGATACTCTGATCATTCTCGTTTTTGGTTTATGTGGATCCTGTGTGGATTATCTGGAAATAGCCAATTCACACTAGAAGGATGTGGCTAGTAATGGAATTCAGGACAAATATTCTGTCCTATTTAAGACTAATCAGCTAGATTTAATTGCATTCAAGCAGATGTTCACTCCGATAATCAAACCCATTATCATTTGCTTCAAATACCATCTCATTATCCATTTATCATGAATATTATTGCAGAATGAAAACAAGTATAAACGGTAAATTGGTAGCCAAGATATTGAAAAATGAACCAAGATCAATTTGTATGTGTATAAATTTTAAGTAATAAAACAAAAAAAACTGGAACTTTTGTAACATGTGAAATTGTTCAGTTACTTTAACGTCAGCTGTTGTTTGTTTAGTATCTATGATATGTCTGATATGCCGGACAATCTGGGGTTATTCGGTTACAAATACCCTGATATACAGATAGTCTTATCACAATTTTTTCATATTTATGACTATTAATTTGCAGTAATAGGGAAATCCAATCTTAGAATACACATATAACTAGTAGTATATAAACCGAAATCCCAGGTATTATTGCTTAATGACCTTAAACAGTTATTCTTTTCTTTTGTCTCTCAGTTTTGTTCTGTTAGTTACTAAACAGGAACATACTATTACAATTTAAAAATAGTATAACTATTTTTATATGCATTTTCTATTGTTAATCGAATAACCATAAGATTATATTTCTGACGAGTTCACTTGTCTAGTGAACATCAACACTGAAGTTCGAGAATGATGAATTAATTTGTTGTCTGGTGATGAATTTCAACTGTATGGACTAAATGGCAGAGTATATGTATTGAGAAAGTATTTCTATCAGCTTTCAAAAGCTAGTGGTAAACTGTATAGCATATTTTTATGAAGGAACACCGTGAAATTAATTGCCAATAGGAAAGTCATGATATAAAATGAAAAACTTTAACACTTAGGGATATAGTTGGATGAGATCAAATCATATTTATTATTTATTTCATGTACTTAGAAGCAAGTCGTATCAGAACATATTGAGTAGTATAGTAATAATCTATTAATGCGCACTGCTGAGGAGTCCCACAATAGGACGAAACCGCCGTTCAGTGCTTCCAGGTTTTCCATGGTGGTCTATCTTCAACTGACCCATGATCTCAACCATTGAAAAGAAATGTTTATTAATGATTGTCTAAAATCTTGAAAAGTGTATTTTTGATATTCAATTCATTTACTTACCTAGTTATTTATTCCACTGTTTACCTAAACTAACAGATTTAAACTAAAATTGGATATCAGAGAACATCGATGATCATCTCGAGGGAAACAATGTATATTCATTGTTGTATTAGTCTTCAATAAGTACATATAGGTATAAATTATAGAACAACTGATAAACTTATAAAATGTTGAAGTATTATTCATTATTGAAATGTAAATTCAGCGAGACTCTAATTTATGGACGAGCCAATCAGAAGCGCTTGAAAGATTTCAAGGTCATGGCATCAATTTCAGTACCTGTCGCTCAGTTACAGCAGATGGGACTACTAAGAGGTTTGTTTATTTGTGACTGCAGTTATCAAATGACTGCTGTAACGTGTTCAGACTATCGAGATGAGGTTGTCTTTTGATGTTATTTATGTTGGAGGAAGAAGTCTGCTCGAACAGGAACTTTCTTCGCTCGATCCCGATTGAGACTAAGACAAATCATGATAACTGTTGCAAGTTGGATAACAAAAGCACCAGTAACACTGGCTGCAACATTTTCAGACGTTACTGAAACTTCAGCTGTTCAGTGGTATGAGTATTGCAGGGATATATATCCAATGAAAGTGACAAGTTTACACGAGCCGTTTGGAGGAGTTGGGAGAATCGTTGAACTAGACGAAACAGTAGTCCGGGAGCGAAAATATAACAGAGGACGTAGTATGAAGGAAGACTGTGTAAGTAGCACTTCCATAAATATACCTCACAGGTACTTGGAATTTATGACAGATCAACCCAAAACGGACACTTCCAAAAGGTCAGAAACCAACAAGCAACGACAATAATACCAATTATACGGGAATACGCGTAGCCGGGAACCACAATATATACGGACGATTGGAGAGCCTACCTATGCCTGCATAGACTTGAATATGTGCATCATGTCGTTATCTACAAGTGCCATTTTGTGGACCCTACAACAGGAGTGCACACAAACAATATTGAAGCTATGTGATCGAGGCTAAAGGAGTTCTTACGACCTTATAATGGCTCAAGAAGTCGATTATTATGGAGCTATATGGATGAGTTTCTCTACCATATGCACAACGATTTCAGAACCTCTGAACCTCTTTCAAACCTTGATAAGTTTTTGAACCATGTAAAAGAAGTATATCCACTTTATTTCTTTGGTTTTTATAATATATTTTTACTTTAAACTACCTGTCTTCTGATTGGCTAATATTTTTCAGGGTCACTTAAGATTCGTTCAAAGATCGTCCATAAATTAGAGTCTCGCCGCGAATTGAATTCAGCTATTTATGTTGTCTTTTACAGAATATTATCATATGACATAAAGTCTTTGTAGTGATGATACAAAATTTCAGAGGAAGATAAGCTGTATTTAATTCTTTCTAACCGGTTAAATGAACTATTTTTTCTATGATCTTAAACTGTATTCTTTAATAAAATTGATAAAATCCAACTAGTGAAGCAATTTCAATTACTTGTAATGATTAACGATTTCTGATACATCATAATTCACTAACTAATATAGCTTTGTTCTGAATTAACTTCTTGACACTCGGTTATGACTACTAAAAGTCATTCAAAGTAGTATGATTAAGGATTAAATTCTCTTTTCAGAACTATAGTTAGTGATATTGACTAACCTTATCTATTGACTATTCAAACGATAAATAAACCATTTGTTGGCGATAGATATAGTTTTTTTTCTTTTCAAACAGTTATGTGAACTTACTTTTTTGATATATATTAAAACAACAATAAACTGAGCGAAAAAACAAAATACTCACTTTTGTCAAATAAGGATAACTTTCTTCTGATTGTATTCCATCTTTTTCAACATATCGAAATGCATTATTCATATCACCGCCTAAACAGCCATGGTTACCAAATGAATGACTACAGTCAATCAATTGTTGTGGTGATAATTCAACAAAAGTACCAGTCCTATTTTTTAACTGTCCTTCTAATGCTCCAGCAGCTGAAAACGCCCAACAAGCACCACATTTACCCTGAGCATAATAACAGAAAATCTCATTCATCAAAAACATAAATATGAAGAGAAAATAAGTATTAATAATATACTACCTTTATGCATATAAATCTCAAAGCTATTTAACAGTTCTAGGTATTTCCAGTATCTTTTATTTCTTTATATATTAACCTCTCCAAAGACGATTTCCACTCAAGTTTAAGAGTATACAATTAGTAATAAGAAACAATGGCTTAAATGAGAAAATGTTATATTGTATTTTAACTAATAAAACAACTGTAGGTATCGATACAAAGGTTGGACTTGATAGTTTCATATAAATTGAGTATTGGGTAGAGAATTAATAATAAACATATTTTTTGTTATATTCTAATGTGTAGGAGAATTGTTCTTCTGACGTTTCATGACAAAACGGCCGTGCAGTGCTTCCAAGTTTTCCATGGTGATCTAGCCTCAATTGACTCATGAATTCGACTATAAAATTATTAAAATCCCCTTCTGAAATAATTTAGTCACAATTTATGAGGTATAAATTACAAAAATAAATAAATATTTTATTGGGAATTGCTTATTTCATTAGTAAATTCTAATTGTAAATGTCAGTTTTAACAAGTTATCACCATGATATTATCATTTGAATATTCCTTCTTAAATGAATATTCTTCATGGTGAAACATTTCTAAAATCATTACAGTTGTCTTCCGTCAACTCTTCTTTTCTTCAATGTAAAATTTCATTCTAATTTTAAAATTATGCCCAGTTTTAAAAAAAAAAATCTTTATTAATTGAATTTTCCAACTGCATTTACCAATTCACATGTACTTGCCAAAGCACATACATTGAAAGAACTGAGAGAAGGGTGCATGTTCGCATTTCTGAGCATGTTCCAAAGAACTTGAGGCTGAGAGGGACTAGGACTCTAAACAGTGCAATAGCCCGGCATTCACTTGACACCGGGCATACCATAGACATTCCGCAAGCTCATAAAATTATCAACAGACAAAGAAGTACGACTGCTTTCCGTTTCGCTGAAGGAATCGCGATAAAAAAACTTAAACCGAATTTATGTATTATTATCTGTTTGATAAACATTCTTGTTACGTAAGAGGACGAAACATCAGTGTAATTATTTATTATCAGTATGAGGACTTGTAGAGATTACAATATTTTAACAGTTAAATTTACGAGTCGATCCAAGCTAGATCACCATTGAAAATCTGGAAACACTAGACGATCGTTTCGTCTTAGCATGAGACTCCTCAGCAGTGAGCACTCGTGATTCTGAGTGCAGGACTTTTGGTCTTGCACTCAAAATCTTAACCTCTAGACCATTGAGACGGCATCCAACAGTGTGAATATCTGGTTTTAATCGATCCATGATTTCGCACAACTGTTTGTCCATTTTCTAAAGTGGATATATGTCTCACACCCGACATAGATTGAACTCCATTGGTCATAGCTTTCATAGTATTATTAGTAATTTAAGAATTATAAATTTAACAATCCATAAAAATTTAACATACATTCAATATTAAATTCAGTAACAATCCATGTCAAAGAAATCTTACCTGTACTTTAACTTTACTTACAGCACCTACTTTTCTCCAATCCCATGTATCTGGTATTCTCTTTAATATTGTTTCATTTAAAGATTGTTTCAATAATATTTGACTTTTTTGTTTATGTCTATTTAAATATTGACTTAAATTTGTTAAATATATTGTACTTATATGACTCCAATTTAAATCAGAGAATTGATTTAATCCAATTGTATATAATACTAAACCTTTATTATACATTAGATTATGTTGTTTCATCAAATGTAAATTATACAACCAATTTTCACGATGTTCATTATATTCTTTATGAGTAGAATAATTTTTATGATGTAAACTTTTCCATTGTAACCATAATAAATCATCATCATCATCATGACCATTATCATGATCATTGTCATTAATAGTGTGATTTATATGCTGGTCGATTATACCATAGCTACTATTATTATGAATGTAAGTATGATTTGGATAGACATTTACTATTAAATGTAAGTAAAATAACAATTTAATCATGTTTTGCAAATTAAATACGTTTACTTGTTCATATAACAACAATTAGGCTAATAGTTAATGAGACAACTTTTTTTGTTTGTTTTAATTTGTAACATCATTAGTAGTATGTAAGAATTTTAAATGAAAATGTAAACTATGCCTTATGAAAGATGAAGTGAATAAGATGACTGTGAAAAGTTATATATTATTATATTTAATGTATTTTATATATGTATATTTATCAAATATAATACAGTATACATTCGTATCAACGTATATAATTGAAATTCGAATCAACAATTCAATTTATACTTTCTCTCTATTATTTACAGAAAATTTGCCGATGTTACTCGAAGGTCAATCGACTGAAACTATGGTTACATATTATTGTTATTATATGGATATCTCTTTCTCTCTGTATGTGATGGGAGTAAAAATTCTTTTTTGAAATTAAATAAAAAGCTAATAAAATATTCGATTAATAATTGGACATGAAATATTTGTTTATATTTACGTAAATAATAAGTTGTCCATGATACTTATGAGTGACTTGCTAATTGGACAATGTTGTTTATTGAATGACCTAAATAGATGAAAATCATAGTAGCTTGTGTTACTTACCTATTAGTGGATAATCTATTGGAAGGTATATACCCGACCGTTGTTGCTACCTTGACGTGGTGGTCAGGCTTGCCTATCGTGATGAAGCAACCGAGCTATACTGGCTGGAACAACCGTTCCTTAAGGTCCTACCATGTCAGACAGGTCGGTTGAAGAGCGGTAAGACTAAAAGCAACAAACCCAAGGTCCGAAGCCGAAGTCGTACTGCTGACTGTACAGAGGTGTGACAGCAGTAAGGTGTTTCCTTCAGACAACCAGCATGACAGCGATGCTGCCTTCCCACAAGCAGGGGTGGGGTTAGAAAAGGTCGACCCTAAAAATGCACACCTCGCCTTATCCCACGGATATCCGTCTCCGGCGGTAAGGTCTCAATAAGTACGGAGCTAACACAAAAATTACCCATAAAAAGATCGTGTGTGACCGACCTCAAGCAGTTGTCCCTTGGGCACTGCGGTCACGCTCTCAGGTTACTAAGACCACCTTTAATCCAATTTCCTTTTCAGATACCTCCAGAAGAACCCTTCCATGGTGTGGGCAACCGGGAAGTGATAACCGCCCTCATACCTCTAACGGCACTCAAGACCACTGTATTCAAGGTATATTGAATCAAAGACAAATTCTTAAATGAACTATCTCAACCAACCTGTTAATATATTCACTCATTTCTATCTAATATAACTCAGTATTAAGAAATACAACAGGCGATGAAAAGGTGAATCAAATTATCTTCGTCAATATAAACTTTTCTCTGAGAAAATATCATCTATGGTGAGTAACTGCCACAGACCTATAGCACGGTTGAACTTCAGTAGTCATGGCTTCTCACTAGAACTTTGAGAAATATCTCTCGAATGTAATTTTCAGAGTTCTAGTAAGAAGCCATGACCAGTGAAGTTCAACTGTGTCAAATATCATCTATTTCACTTCTCTATACAAACAATCTAGTCAATAAGTACAACAAAGCTACGCAACTTAAATTATAAATAGTATTTAGAAGTTACATAACATGTCATCAGTACATTTAAACACATAAAATTCATATCACAGTTTAACTTCGTTGCATGATTTAAACACATGTAATTTGATTTTATATAAATACTATCTAAAAATAGTAAAGAGAAAAACCTTGATTCATTCTAGGACATAGATATAACAAATATGTTTAGATGTTTACCAATTCTTCAAAATAATCAACAAACCAACCCAGCTTACCTTCATTTTGTTAAAGCAGAAACTTATACAAAACGTATGTGTCCAGAAAGAAAAATGTTGTTAATTTATCATTGCCTAGGTAAATTCATATTTTTGATCAAAGTTATTCAATCTTTCCTAAAACTAATGTTATTTCATTAATATTAAAACTAACTTTCCATTTATCAGTGTTTTCACTCGCCTAGTCCTTAAGGCTTATATTAATTCTTCAACTTCATTATAATTATTACACAATTCGTCCTGTCAAATTCCACTTAATTATTGCCTCACTCCTTCTGTGTTAGGACGGAATGTGCGTCCATGATTTCACTGTTAGCCACCATCCGTCTTTGCTTATAATGCTTGTGACTTAAGGCAAAGTCGAGGTAATCTGCACAGGACGTATATATGCCAATAAGAGACTGGTCAATTTCAGTCCTAAACATTAATGGGAAAATTCAAGCAAACAATACAAAATGAATTTACATTGTTGTTCTTCTTCTTCCTGTCACCGATATCTATTACTTCGTATTATATTATACTCGATATTACACTTTAGTACAGATATGGCTGTGAGCGTCTAAAGAGACTTGACGAAACATATTTATTTATTTATATTATTCTGCCCTTACTTTGTTCAAATAAGAAATTATTTTAAACAGTATCAGAGGATATGAGTTACAGAGTCCTGGTCTCTAGAATAATTGTCAGTGTAACATTTCTAAAAGACATTGATGCTGTTTGGTTATTGTTAATTAAACTCATTAATGAACTTTTTTTATGAGTACAAAGGGCTGGTGGTGATTAGTAAGTTTTATAGTTTATATCACGGACTCCAGTTAATTAGATAACTATTGAAATCTAGGATGCTGTTTCATCTTAAGTGGGATTCTTTAGCAGTCTGAATCCATGACTCTACTCGAGATAGAACTTGGAACTTTCAGTTTCGAAACGAGTCAGCATCTAACGGTTTATATATTTTTCTTTCTATATTTAGTAGTCAATGAAACTAAACAGTTATGTTTGAGTTTCTAATAAAAAAGTTTTGACTGTAAGATTATTGCCGAATAAGCAAGTTAAACCAGATTATCTGCAGTTACCGTTGGTTGAGAATAAATCAGTGCATATTTGTTAGGGAAATCATCTGAATACAAGTTGCATACACCGGTAATATCAAAATATAAGTATTTCTGATTCACTGAAGAGATTCAGTCACTTACAACGTAAGACAAGGCACATACATGCATCGGTCCAAATTGCTATAACTTATTAGCACAACATGATGAATACCAAATTCATAGAACCAGTTACTTCAACGGTAGTAACATATGAATCATTCAGGGTATATTTATGAATCAGTGATTGTCAATGTGTTTTTTGGTTCGTAATTCGATAGTACGTCGATTTGAAAATAAAAAAGGATGGTAATTATTAGAAAAATCCATCATTGTCTGATTTGAATAGAATTCTTTTGGGAAATAATACATTCTAAACAGTGAATCTTAAATAATAAATTATTTTTAACACAGATTGAATAGAGTGTTTGTGGTCATCAATGTTTTTAAATTAAGTGACTGAAAACACTGAATTCTACATACTACTATGCATGTAAAAGTATTTTATCAACGAATACTTGATGTAAACAGAACGAAATTAGTAAAACGTTTCATGATCATCAGTACTGAATGAAAATGATGACTAAATATTTTATACCCAACTTGACTAATAATCAATCAAGTTATCATCCGTTACGTTCACATACGGTAAATTAATATATTTGATTTTTCTAAAGCAATATATTTCATTTTCAATTATTAGACGACAAGTTTCAAGTTTAGTGAATTTTCAATTTACTTAAGACCATAGACATGCATGTAAAGAGCACTGACAATCAATCGATTACATAGAGTTACGATATTCGAGTTGTGGTAATAAATAAGAACATGAAATAGGATGACAAAACACTATATTTATCTAACTGTCAAATGCAATTGGTTAATCTGCAACATGATAGTTAACTAGTTGATACTTAATGTTAATAGAACTATCTATTGGTGATTAAAATAGGTAAAAATCTTGAAGTCCTCAAATGACAGTCACTTTGTGCTACATGCGAGCTTTTGCACCGAATAACATAATTTCGTTCTAATTAGTGAACGTTATGAAAAATTTCAGTGAATTCCACTTTCCAAAACACAGTAATAAATTGCTTTCATTAGGAAGATTTTTCAGGTGACAATCTAGATACCTTTAGTGATAAAGGATATCAAATTCAGAGCAGAAAATCGTTTTAGTGTTGTTAAATATTGGGTAAAAACAGTATCGTACTATTGATGGGGAGTAAACTTAAAGCTTACTGTTGACTGCTTTTGAATCGATTATTATACTTGAGGAACTCACTGAATGCCTCAGACATTAAAAATGACAAAATTCGCATTTTCCAAACACATTTACACCAAATTTTAATGGTAATACTGATTTAAAATTAGTGTCACTTCTTTTTGATTCTAAGTCTAGTACGATTAATGCAGATAAATTTATCATTTTCTCACCGAAGTAGTTTATCTTGAATGTCAAACAGTTGACTTAAAAATGAACAATTTGAGAGTACGAATGGAAAGTGAACTTTTACTTCAGGTTCATCAATAACACAAAAGCGACATACGTATGTACACCCAACATGACCGTTTAACAAAGACTCGATTATGCAATGTAAAGCAGTATAGTGAGAGCTAAAATCAATCAGATACATAAATAATTTAATGACGTGGTCAAATAGAAAACTACGATTATGCAATGATAATAATTCATTCGATAATGGGCATACACTCTTACGAAATCAAATCATTTCTAAAGTATAACGAGAATAAATACCACAAACAGCAAAATCATTGTTATTTCCTTAAAGACCAACAGGAATAATGAATTTGCAAAACAATATCTTGTACACGTAAATGTAGAAAAGTTAAAAGAAACTAGATGAAAACCATTCATATATTGATTTTATATATATTTGTCTATCTTTAAGTGAAAATGAATCAGTTATTCGGTCAATTAAGTAACCAATTCGGCTACTACACTGTGTATATTGCGTAAATGACTTTCATCTAATCCATATGTTTTACATAGATTATACAAAAAAATATCTTAACTAAATCATTGTTAAGTATACCATGTGGTGAAAAAGGAAGAAGAATAACCAAAAGTTTGGAAAAACACGATGACAATAGAAACAAACAAAAGGACTTAAAAAAAAGAAGAATGAAAGAAATTAAGTATTGCAAATATTATTTATTGTTCGATTATGATGAAATAGTTTGGATTGTTTGAATTGGTAATGAAAGATGATGGGGTAAAAAGCAGCAGTACAAAAAATTAAGAAAATAGAAACAGAATGGACTAAGAAGAGGAGAGAACCACTTCCCTATTCACACAAAGTGATGTCAAGGAAATATCTAGAATGGGAAAGAAAGTGAAAAAGTATTAACTAACCAATATATATATATATATATATATATATATATATATATATATATACCAGTTATATCACTACTGGGCATATAAATCAGATCAGGGGTGATTGGATGTCCATAATTAGACGTATGCACAATATGAAGTCACACAGTGGAATATGATGCTTTTAAATAGTCAAGCTGAAAATGTATTCAATTAAAAGATAATACGAGAGACAAAAAGGGGGAAGGAAAACCAGAAGCACCGGTTACAGAAATAAATAAAATCAATTCAAGAAATAATAATAATTGACAGAACAGTAATCAAGAAACAGGAAAAAGCGGGGAGCAGGTCAATACTCGAATTTTTTTTAAATATTATACACAGGGAAAATGCTTTAGTTAAATGGTAAATTTCTTAAATAGTATACATTCCAAAAAAAAGAACAGCTACACGAAATTAACAATGAAAACAAAATTAATCGAATAAAGAATGGTGAAATACCCTTGTTTTACAAATATGCATATCGGTTTATATATGACTTAAATAGGTGTAGACGATGATGGTTAATAGATTGATTTATTACTTAAAGCAGCAGTAACCAATTAGAAAACTGAAATACGTAACAAAATCGAAGTAAATTAACAAATAATACTAAAATTGTATCAACGGTACAATCAGGGGAAAATAGAGAGAGTTCTGTTGTGTGTTTTTTCTTCTTTAAAAAACGAAAGCAAATCCCATCATTAACAAATGTTGTTCTGAAACAGGATCACTTCATTTATTAATAATAATAATAATAAACAATATTAATTACTGCTATTATATCCTAATTAATTTTCAAAGAAATGGCAAACAAAAACGAATAATGAATGGCATGGTATGTTGTTACTGATATATAGAAATTATCAAAAGAATTATTACATGGAAGAATAACATTGGAACTGAAGTACTTTTTTTTTCAAAAACAAAAGAAGATAAACAACAAAAAGTTGACCCTAACCTTAAAAAAAAAACAGATCAGAAGCAACGAATATTGCCATATAGAAAGCAAATAAACACACTAACATACACATAAGTTATTTATGAATAAACAATGTTTGATTTTACAATTTACATATTATATGAAACATAGATTGGATCCAATTTGTCATTAACAAAACTATCTCTTAATAGAATTCGTTGTTTTTCACCAGATGGATTAATTGGTACTGTTCTAGGATCTACTATTACAACAACACCAACAATCATTTGATGTTCAGTTAATACATGTGCTGTGATTGGATGAACAAGATCCATTGCTTCGTTCTCTTCACCAGCTAGTTCAGCGACTACAACCAATAAATTCGACCAACTAAATACAGCACTAAAAAATGAGATATAAAAAGGAATTGAAAAACTTTGTTGTTGTTTTTAAATAAAAACGATCAAACAAAAATAAGTAAGAATTTAATGAAAAATTCAGAAGAAAATGATACTAATTGATGAATATAAAGAATATGTTAACTATTTAATTTTGTATGGAGGATACAATAATGAAGTATTCAATACAAGATTATCTCGCGTAGAAAGATAAGTTTAAACACAGTATCACTGTATCTATGCACAAATCCAAATCCAATTAAATCAGTAGCGCGTCGGAAGCGGAGAGGGCATCTAAACAAGGAACTATAAGTAAAGCTAATTATTAATTGTTATCAGTATGGGGATTTGTGGAGATTGTAGTATTTTAAAAGTTGAACTTACGAGTCAATCTAAGCTAGATCACGATTGCAAACCTGGAAGCGCTGGACGGCCATTTCGTCATAGTGTTTGACTCCTCAGCGGTGAGCATTCACGATCCACTAATACTTCCAGGTTTTCAATGGTGGATCGATTCGTGAATTCAACTAAAAAATGTTAGTCTGAAAACTATATTTAATGTGAAGAGTTGCCTTTCGTGACATAGCAGAATTAGTTTGTAAATGCATACGCTAATATCCAGTCCAGGTAACCCAAATGATCAATATTTTATCATACTAAATAACTGTTCTTCCAATCTAACTTAAGTTAGAAATTTTTTCATTTCAAATCATTTTATTGTTTTCAAAGTATAGATATTTAGCCAATTACTTGACGGTAATTTCGGCAAAAAGGCTAAATCATTTGCCAATAACATGTAGTTTTCAAACATGATCGGAACATTGGTTTGTCAAGCAAAGCAACTTGATCAGTCAGTTACAACGTAGAACCCGTACGTATGTATACCGATTCAAGTTGCCGTGCCCTAAAAGCAGAGATAAAGTTGTCAAGCCCAATAATCCCAAAATATTAGAGATAGTAACAGTATTAGTGGTAATAGGGAAGATTAGGCATCGAAGATATGATTTGAGAAAAGAAAATATAAATTAGTGAAACAAAGACAAAAAAGTCACGAGAAATTCAGAACTTGAGAGAAGACAAAGAATAGATGCACTTCAATCATTGCAAACGATTTTGAGCCGTCAATCAAAGTCTAATCGCAGGTTACGATAACCCCGCGGACCACTACCAGGTAATATACACCTATTACCATGGCTTAGTCACTTGTCAGTGAATTCATGGACTAACGACGAGGTAGTTGTAGATTAGGCATACGTAGTACATGTCCTAAGCACCTCAGTCGATAGATATTTACTACCTCATCAATCGATTTACCACCCACACTTAGTACCCTATTTCTAACCCAGGCATTGCTTACTCAGTGGTCTCAAAATCCGTGCTGAGATTTCGTCAGACACTAGACCATCGATACTGATGAGAATTGCGAGACAAATGAAGCAATCGATACGTTCGACTACTTCACTCCGTCATTAATCCAGGAGCTGACGCAAGCCAATCCTGAGGCAACATTTTACGTTTGGAGAGAGAGAATCCCATAACAAACATACTTGGGATATAGTGAAATTGAACGGATGAGTAATATTTAAGCATCAGAGAAAGTAATATGAGTTAAGACAAAACGTATGGGTTAGTCATTGTCAACTCAATTTACATAGTTTGATAAAGCAAAATTAGTATCATCAGTAGTAATTAACTATAAGAAGTATAAATCTTTCCAATGAAAAAATGCTGGTATTACAGAATACTTATTAATGTAGAAAAAGGAGAACAACTTACCATTCACATATTTTCTTGTGTGAACGCATCACAGTATTCTCAATATCGATTGGATGAAAGCGCATTCCACGTAGTAAAATGGTTTCCTCTAAACTGCCTACGACAAATATGGCATCATGTAGTTCTGGTATGAAATAAAATGTAAGTAAATAGGTATGTAGTTTATGCAGAATGACCATACAGTTGAAAAAAAAGGTCGGATATATATATAAGGTTAATCCAGTCCCACTAATGCATTCTAATTAAAATGTAGAACTTTACCATAAACATTTTAACTTTATTCATGTTTTATGTACAGCTATGATGACAATGAAACAAATTTTCTCTCTAAAAAATAGCAAATGTCAGACGTTCATGTTCATACTTGTATTGACTGCCATTTACGACAATCAGCTTTTACTATAAATTAAGATACACTATTATACAAATTAGAAAAAAAGTATTTATTAGTAGACAGTTATATAATGCAGAATGTACTGGGCATTGTAATTATTATTAACGGTGAATTCCATTAGTTTAACAAAAAATTTTTTCATTTCATCATCTAGTTATGATGGTTGTTAGAAGATTGACTGAGACTAATTGTTGAATGTTAGCGCAGCAAACCAACACTTCATAGATCATGGTTAAAACAAATGATTTGGCATTTATTAAGTTATGTCAGAAATATCATTCATACTTTCTTCCAATAACCTTGAAATCGGACTATGAATGTAAAACAGTTGTTTATATTCCAAAACATGAAACTATAACCTATGTTTGTTTTAAATTTCTATCTATATAGCCCAAGGTTTATTCACTCACTTTTAAGCAATTGGATGTTTTACGGATATTGTCAAATTAAACTACACTCAACTCAAAATATCAGAAACATAAAGTTGAACAAACGATATGAGACAAGACAGAATGAAATACCTAAGATAAGTATTTGTTGGCAGGCGTTCAGACATCATTAGGTCGAAAAACAGTCAAAAAAGTTGATAAATAGTTTAGTTCAACAGCGGGTTTCCTGGAAAATTTATTATCAGAAAGTAAAAGGTACTAACAAGTAAAAATATTTAACAGAAATTAAACTGAAACATTACCTCCATCAGATTGAGTTAATTCGGTCCGTCGAACAAAACCTAAAAATCCAGTACGTGCATAAACTCTTTCAGTATCACCAGTAACTAAACGAGCATGTAAAGAATCACCAGCATTTATTCCTGGTACAGGTTGTGAAGCAACACCAGTAGGACGATTTAAACTAGCACTATCGAATGGACCTAATAGTTCAGTAGAATTGTGGGGAGATGATACCCATATTTCGCCTAATTGTGAATCAGCACACTGACCTAGTGTATCAGGATTAGCTATTACTACATGTACACCAGGTAATAACTGAAATCAAATCATTGAAAAAAGAAATAGAAACAGTTTATATCGGATTTTGTTATTATCTGATATTAGAAAAACGCTATAAACAAAATATCTGGTCAAAAACGTAGGCATGATCCAGGTATTTGAACTTTTGGCATACAGTATACGATGAAAAATCATTTAATCGACTAATTTAATACATCTCTCAGATATGAAAATGTATACTTAACTTTCAGTCAAAATAAACGTCTGAAGGCTACTAGCTGGAGCAGAATTCGGACCTCAAACTTAGTAGATGAAAAGTAAATCCCTTAACTACTGAGCCATAACTCCACAAAACCCTTCCACACAACCTTTCAGATCTTTGTAATTAAGAAAAGGAGTCAGGAGATTTGAATAGATGCTCGTAGAGATTCATTTACCTTGACGATAATTTTTTCAGCATCAGGCAGAAAATATGAATAAGGGGAAGAGATTTTTACATATTTTACGTCATAGTTACATAATTTTGAGCAATGCTACTCAAAAGTAAACACTTAACCCAAAATTTTTAGGTTCAACCATGAGTACTACCCGAGAATATCTAATCATCTATATTCACCAGCTTTAAACTACAAACAATGTAGTACAAGGACCATAAAATAACACTGATAGACATTTCCTCATTTCCAAGTTGATAAAATTAAAAATATTATACACTTACTTTCCCAGATTCCATAAGACACAGACTATGTGGTGATCCTTTTTCTAGTAATTTAACACGATCATTTCGTAAGCTGACACGATCTACATAAACAGTTGTGCTTTCCGGTGAACTAGCACCCTAGTTTCAATAGTAAATGAGAGAAAAAAACATTGATAATCGAGAGCAAATTTAATCCATAGTTTGAGATTTCAGGTGATATATATATAAAACCCACTCTGTTTGAAAACAGTATTTCTTTGTTTATTTTATTTATTTGAACAAATAGATAATGGTACAAGGGGGCATCAGATACAAATCTCATTCGATATGTGTGTGGGCTGTGATACTGTTTGGGTGCCCAAACCGAAGTAGGTGTATTCCCATGTGAAAACATGGTTCGATAATAAATTGTGTTAGATTATACATTATTTTCTATATACATCTATGAAAAGATTATCGTGTGTTTGATAGAATTATGAAAGTAGTTACTATGACTATTTGTAAACTTCTTGAATTTATGATAAGTACAATAAAAGATATATATCTGAAATCCAATAAGTGAGTAGTCACTACTACTCATTATATAATCACAAACACAATGTATCAACTTTTTTTTCTATCCACTGAAATAATAAGGTTAGAAGTAAATGAAATTCTATGAAGTAAAAATGAAAGTAGAAAATCTTTACAATATACTATCACTTTATACTATTCAATGTTGAACAAGTAAAACGAACCATATACATATATATCATACGATATTATACAATTAAAATGTAAACTAAAAAGAATTTATTACAATATTATTCAATGTAACTACTATTACGAGAATGTATTTTACGTGATTATTTTGTTTATAAATAATTAAATAGATTAGACATTTAAAAACCAGATAATTTAGACGAAATTATTGGGGGGAAAAAAGTTTTCTTTCTTTTAATTGTAATATTAAACGAGTGTTTCATTATTTCTTAATTTATAGTCTAATATAATGGATATAAATCAATGTTGTAGATTAATGTTTAGTAAATTCAGTACACTTGAAAGTATAACCAATTAGTTATCTGAGGTATAATGAAAAAGGAATTCACAAACTGAGGTAAGTAAAGCAGTTATTATTGTAAAACACAATAATAAGCAGGAGGAATGTATTTATTGTTAGAAGTTACTAAGTATTTATATAGTACATTATACATAGACTTTAATCTTTCATTTTTAACTTTCGGTGTGTTCTGTCATTTGAATTTCACTCTTGTCTGGTCCTCGAAGTGTTATGCTAACGTCGTGCTTTCGATACACTGAAACTCTACACTTTGTCTGATAATTGTAGCAACTTTGACATCACGTTCCGCTACACGTTACTTACAAACAATTCTATGAGTAGCACCCACTACATTATTACAACGGCATTCACATTCATATCGCAAAACGAAACACTTAATACTAAAGTAGAACCTCGTAAAACTGTACATCAGATCGAATCGTCATATCACATTATCATAGCGAGACACATAAATAGTGAGTGACTAGAAACAATAGTAGTATCGAAAATAATATAAACGGATAAACATTGGGTGTATGGTTCGAGAACTCAACATAAATCAGTCATTGAATATAGTTGCTAGTAATAACCGAAGTCAACCAATTAAGAAATTACATAAAAGGAATCACGATTACAGGGTACTACTATCCTCATTTACGGAAAATTATAATCTACATTTAAAAGATGTATATATAAACATACCTGTAAAGAAATCGCTAAATTAACTCGACAACCGAATGAAGTGCTTACAGCACGTCCTGTTAAACCCAAACTAGAAAACAACTTAGTGAACATGGAAGTCAAATGAATCCGGGGACGTTCTTCAGCTACAACAACTAAACTTCGGATGCTTGATAAACTTATTTCACGTTGCTATAAAAAACAAGTTAAAAAATTAAAACAAAGACGAATTAAATTTGAGATATTTATCAAAACATTCTTAAAATACACGAATTGTTGACTAGAAGTGAAAGTGAGGATGCTCGTTTTGTACGAATTAGGATACGTATGATGGATTTATCTGCATTAGAGTGTTAATGTTTACATTTGGATGCAAGCCTAGCACCTTTCACTCCATACAATAACGCGTTATCTACCGAATTGTTAAGTCAAGATAGGCACTAACATTGTTGACAGGTAGCATGTTTGAGTTAGGGTTCGGAATTAGCTACAATACATATATCCTTAAAAATGTACGAAAAAGTACCTATACTGAAGCGATTCGCACAGGACGCACACACGTTAACAAAGACAGAAAAAATTCAAATAACGAAAGAGACTCATTGTTTCGTTGAAGCATAATGACGGTGATCCAACGAACAATTTCCGCTAATGATCTGATTCAATACTATTCTATTTTACTATTTCCATTATTTTAGCAAATAAAAGTAACTATAAATACGATTGTACAGATTAAGTAGGTGAAATCATTGAGAAACGTTTCTTCTCTGGATTCACTTAATTCATCTTTAGAAAAAACCCAGCTCTGAATATTAACAACAAGACAATTTAGATTCTTACAGTTAATAACCTTGCAAATACCAACAATTAGTATGACACCGTAGCTAACATAAGTCAAAGCAACCAACTCAGTAAACAAGCGCACACAGTCATCAATTACAACTTCAGCTAAGCAGTTGTAAATGTAAAGGCTATCCATGTGCCTGGAACCAAAGTAGGGATTGTGTGTACTTGACCTACAATTGACTGACTGAAAGTCAACTATCTTAACTACTTCAATCCTAAAATTCTGATTAACGATTCAAAAATGTATGTGGATCGATGGTAAAATGATGCTAACCTATAATGAGTGGTTATTACATGATATCCGGCAAAATCGATAATAACTGTCAATAGGAATACAACATAACTAGAAATCTCTAAAAATCAAATAAATGGGAAAGAGAAATAATTAAACTATTTAATATATGACAAGTGTTCACTTCAATATAGTTGTAATAACTAGTATGGTCATGTGAATAGAATCATGTCTATAATTTTAGATATCTAGACATGATTGATTGAATCAATAACTTGTTAATTTTTATAGCTTCTTGAACTATGCAGATTACCAAAAGTCAAGATCAATTTGATGATTATCTTGTTGGAATCAATTTATGTTGAGAAAAACCAATAATATTTGGAAGATAATCCAAAGGACGAAAATTACTAACTACCGGAAAATAGAAAAATGTCAAGAAACGTATACACCACTAACTCAATCGGTCGTACCTGACGTAGAATCTGGCATGTGTATATACATCAGTTTAACTTACCACAACGCATTAGCAGAGTGGGATAAATTGTCGAAACAAATCTTACGCTAATACAAGTAGAAATGGTATTAATAGTGATAGAAAAGCCTGGACATTCAAGATACAATTTGATATGAAAATATCGATTAGTGGAATAAAAATATTTTGTAAAGTAATTTGGAAACGTTTGATTGAATGGAAGACAAAGAATGGATATACCACTGCGAACGACTCAGAGCCATGTAATCCAAAGCCACTAACCATTGGTTACTATAATGATGCAGATCCCAACCACCTAGTCTACAACTACTTAAATGGTACGGTTAGTGTCTTCATGAACTGCCATGGTTTGGTCGTCTATAGCCTTCTTCCAACCTATCCTAACACCAACCATCATTGAGTGTATAGGTAACTGATGGAGGGTTTTAACCACATAAGTCGATAAAGACCTGTTGCCTCGTCAATCGATTTGTCATACTTATACCTAATGCTCTGCGTCTAACTTCAGAATTGCTAACTCCTTGGTTCCAAATTATATAAACCGTTATTTCACCTCATAAATAAAACACGTTAGAAGAAAGCAATACAACAAAAATGTATACTGCTGTGCATTAACAAGACTATTTTAAAAAAAAAAATCAATGAATCAACGAAAAAACGACATAGGACCAAGATAGCCTGCTTGAATATCTGGGTTACTTGTTCCTGCCATCTGGATATTTCAACAAGTTATCTATTTTCTTATTTGTTTCAACCCACCATTATGTCTATTAGTTTTATAACCTATTCAGGTGTGTTTATGAAAAGTTTACGACATTTCGGTGTACAAGTTACAAAAGAGCCCAATTAGAGACATCGCAGTTGTTGGCAATATGCAACAAAAAGTATACACATTATTCAGATGTCGATTCCTGGACTACTAGCATTTAACTGGAGACCACTCAATATTTATCGCAAGGGTCGATCAAGAAATAAGAAAAGGAAACTTAATGAAATACTTTGTGCTGAGAATTCTATATTGTATCAAAAATATAATACTGAATAAAGCCAATAATAATAGTAATAGATGTAGCCCATTGTAATTAAAGAAATGTGATTGTTTCAAAATAGAAGAATTTAACAATTTTATGAATAAAACCTCTATTGTCAACAATGAACGAGTAGAATGCTTATTGATAGACCAAATACACTGATATGATATGATCGGGTGATGGTTACTCCTAAAAACGAATTAATAACATAAACACATGACCGATTTCAAATCAAAAGCGAAATCGCTAGCCGTAATGAAATAAAACGCTTATATACAAAATATTAGCACAAAACAAACATGAAAAAATTTTATATTTCAAAGCAGGTCATTAATTTGTTGGTCCAATAATCAATTAGGATCTGAGCGTTAGGCTTAATAATTTCGTCAGTCATATCAGTCATCAAAACATATTGTAAAACGGTACAAATCATCTGAATGCATATATATATATACAAATCAGTTAACAAACTTATTCGTCAAATAGAAAACAAATGAGTAAGTCTCCATCGAGAAAGATAAAAATGCTTCATGTCAAATCATTATTCATTAAATTAGACAAAATATGCACATAAACTTCAATAATCTAATCAATTTAGGTAATAAAACCAACTAATTAGCTTAAAAGTCTATTTTTTGTAAATGTTGAACAAAAGTGGTAAATAAATAAAACCAGGTTTATTTAACTAACCTTTAAAATAGACATTTGTTTAGTCAAGTAACGTGTAGCTAATTCCATAGTGTAATGTGAACAAAATGCATCACGAACTAGAGAAATAGATAGACGGAGAGATAGTTAACTAAATGAGAGCAAATACAGGAAAAAATAAACAGCCTAACAAATTCAATAAAAAAACATACAATGTTCTTTACAAACTGAATGACTGAGGACTAAGCTTTGAACCGGTAACATTATTCGATTGTGGAAATCGAAATAAATATAGTTGTGGAGCTCAAATGTGTAGTTAATTGGTTGGAAATTGATTTTTCTTCAAAATAGTAACAGTTACCAGTAGACTTAACTGAATATTGAAAAAGACGTAAAAATATGTAATAACCTTTTCTTACGATTACTGCCGAATGAACCTTTTATGATAAATTCCATAATACAAAGTGATTTGGTTTTATCAACAAGCTTATTTGTCCTTCCTTAACGTCTAAAAATTCACTTGGAACATCAAGGCACAGGTAATAACAAGGTTAATACAAATTTGCCTTGCTGACAACCAAAGAAAATATACAAAGGACATAGATCTAGTAAATCTTCTAGATTGAAAATTAAGTACACGGCACTAAGTGGTGAGAGCTGGATTACTCGTAGGTACATGAATTGAGTTTGACATTGACGAAGTAGTCTACGTGGGATTTATATTTGGAGCATTTTTTTATTCCAACAAGTAAATTCAGTTAAAGTGATTAATAATTCAAGGAAAAAACACATGTCCAAGTAATATCAAATAAAAAAGATATATATGTGACAAATGAGTGTGCTATTAATCAATACTACATTCTGATAATAAACAAACATTCCAAAATAGAATTCACTAACTAACATGGTGTTGGGATATTCAGAAAAATATCTCAAAAATTATTTTGTTAAGCCTAATGCTATCCTTGGACTTAAGATGGTGTCATTTCCTTATTGGTCAATGTTTATTTCACGTGTCATTTTCCTACTGGTCAATATTGTACAATGTTATTTTCTATTTCATGGTAAGATGTGGTCTGCTTGATTAGTATATAAACAGAGTGTGTTTGAAATATAGTGATTCATATATCCGAGGCTGAGACTTGTGTTCTGGGCTCAACTGGCTGGGCTAGACAGGGAAGCGGGACCAATCAGAACCCTAGGCCGTTCTTACGTGTTTGCGCGTCTTTGGTCCGGTCGATAATTCGCTGTCCTCTAATCTGCCGTCACAGTTATAGCACATGAATATTGTGGATCATCTACCACAGTTGTAAATAAGAAAGGTGTAATCTAGCCGATAATTATAATTAGATATTTAATAGATTCATCCAACAAATTAGTGAGCTGTCAATAATACAGAAAACATTTCTGAACAAAAAAATAAAAAAAACTTAGGAATATAAACAACGAAAAACTTGGGACATATGCGCATCACTTCAAATTGATACATCACAATTAGTACAGTGAGATAAAAGTATTTGTTATCATAATATTTGTAAAGTAAAGGAAATACAGAAAATGAGATAGAAAAAAATCACCTTTTCTTTGACTACATATAGTAAGCCATAAATCAGGTACTATTTCTGTAACACTTGGAGGTATCAGTACTGAATGATGTCCACAGTAAACAGATGTTAATGTCCATAAAGTGAATCCAAGACCAGAATATGGATCAAGACTCAATACAACTTCACGAGTTGGATAAAATTCACATTGAATTTTTTGAGCTCGACATAACGCATAAACGACTTGATGCGTTACACGAATTCCAGTTAGTGTACCTGAGAACAGGATAAAAATTATAGTAAGACGAGATATATTTTATAAGAATGTAAAATCATTGAACAATAACATTGGAAAATAATCATTTTGTCTAATGTATATATTAAAGTATATATTTGATGCCTTCTTGTACCAATAGTTATGAATAATGAAAAGAGGCACTCCAAACATGGTTAGTTAACACGTTGAATAAAAAATTAATTTTTTAAATAGAGCAAGAACAAACATTGATGCAGAATAGTATGAATATACCGTTTCATTCACACACAAAAAAAGATGTAAATGGGTTGATAGATATTGATAAAGATAGAATTACTGATAATGATTTATAGTTCTAAATGGTTCATAAACTAAAAGCACATGAAAATGTAGACGAAAATAGAAGATATTGTGAAATGATGAATAAATAGTTATAAAAAATAAATAAATCAATCAAAATTATTGGAATTAACTTCGGTTCATGAAATCCAACTCTACTTTCCAAAACGAAAGATTATTCCTTATATGAGTGATATATTTTAACCCATCATACATTCAAACGCTCTTTGAGGGTGTCACAAACAATGGTTAAAAGTAGTGTTTATTCCCATAATCCTATCTTGTTCAATTAAACCAGTGAAACTTTTTGTTTATGATAAAACAAATGCCTTTACCTTCTTCAGAATATTGAATTCACAAATGAAACTATACCATACTTCAAATTACCGTAACAAGAAAGTTTATACTTATGGAAAATTCATTGGTAATGTAATCCGATCTTATTGAACAATCTGTTCAGCACAGTAAACAATGAATTAGTGGAACATTTCAGAACAATAGGTATATTATATTAATTATTCCTGAGTACCGGAAACCAAAGAATAATCAAACTAACATCAACACACACACAGACCTTCCTATAGCTATCCGTCCACCAACGATCGAAGGAAATAGGACGACCATCAAACAAATCAGGAGAGGGTGAGAAGCAGTACCTGACGACATACCAGCTGAATCACTGAAGTCAGGTACAGAAATAACTTCAGGGATGGGCCATGTTTTGTTCAGGAAGATTTGAGGGGAAAAACAATTGCTGAAAGAAGGATGCCTCACCAAAATATCAAAGAAAGATCTGAGCAAGTGTGAGAATTACAGCGGAATCTTACTACTATCGGTATCACGATTTAAACAAGTGTTCCTAAACATGATGAAGGATTAAGTAGATATCCAGCTTCGAGATCAACAGGTCGATTTCTATAAGGATCAGTCATATACGGACCAAATCGCGACACTACGTATCATTGTTTGGCCGTAGACTGAGATGATTGGGTCACTTGCTACGTATGTCTTAACACCGATTACCATGACACGTTATGCCAATTAACGTCGGACATGGATGGAAGAACGTTAGAGGCGACCAAACCATAAAGTCACTAACTTCTGATGTGAGCCATGTTAATAGATGCAGACTACTTGGTTGGGGTCCGCGCGGCTATCGTAACGAATGGTTTGAGACTCTGGGTGACATGACTCAGAATCGATCACAATGACGTAGGTGTATACACACTTTCTCATCCCTTAAACCGTGGGATTGAAATTACTTTATACATTTCTTTCCACGAACTAATTCTTTCTCACTGTATCATTTCCTCACATGCAATAGTTTTTTTTACAAATTACTACCATTGAAGTACCTGTTTCTATGAGTTTAGTGTTCGTGTTGTTGTGCTAATGAGGTATGAAAACTTGGACCGATGCATATATGTACTTGGTCCTACGTTGAAGATGACTAACTGATTACTGGACAAACAATTGAATGGAACTCATCACTACATCAACTTCATTGGCTATGAAGAAGCATTTGACAGTGTGGATACGAGAACATTATGAAAACTTCTTCGATACTATGCACTACCTGAGATCACCAAAACTACACGGAATTTATACGACGGACTGCATTGCCAAGTCGTGCATGGGAGACAATTGACAGATGCATTCCAAGTGAGGACCGGTGTCAGACAAGTCTGCATACCCTCTCCCTTTTCGTTTCTTCTGGTAGTTGACTGGATTATGAAGACCTTAACATCTGAGGGGAAGCACGGAACACAATGGACAGCTTGCATACAGCCAGACTAGTTCAACTTCACAGATGACCTGGCCGTTGTGTCCTTTACACACGAACATATGCATGTCAAGAAACCAGTGTAGCAGAAGCCTCTGCATCAGTAAGCCTCAACATACCCAGGAGAAAAACCAAGATATTTAAATAAAACACGGGGAGCACCGACCAAATCACACTTGATGGAGGAACTCTGGAAGCGGTGGAAACCTTCACGTAACTGATCAGCATCATCAATGAACAAGAAGGATCCAAAACAGACGTAAAGTCAGGGATTGGTATAGCAAGGGCGACATTTCTACAGTTAACGAACATATGGAACTCAAAACAACTGTCAACCGATATCAAAATCAGAATCTTCAATACGAACAGTTCTACTGAAAGGAACCGAAACTTGGAGAACTGCGAAAACCATAATCAAAAAAGTACAAGTCTTTATAATCGATTGTCTACGCAAGATATTCAATATCCGTTGGTCGGACACAATCAGCAACAGCCTACTGTAGGAGAGCACAAACCAACTTCCAGCTGAAGAAGACATTAGGAAAAGACTTTGGAAGTGGATAGGATATGCATTGCAGAAATTACTAAACTGAATCACTAGGCAAGCTCGAACTTGGAATTCTAAAGGGAAGCGAAAAAGAGTGAGGCCAAAGAACACAATACGTCGAGAAATAGAAGCAAACAGGAGACGAATGAATAACAACTGGAAAAAAAGAGCTGGAAAGGATTGTCCAGGACAGGATCAGATAGAGTGCTGATGGGTGGCCTGTACTCCTCCACGAGGAGTAACAGGCGTATGGAAGCAATAATTAGCTAATTTAACATTCCATAGTGTGATCAAAGTCTTTCGTCTGTTATTACATTATTGGTTGAAGTTTTTTTTCAATACAATGGAGTGATGATACATCACACTAAGGAACTGTTCTAATATCCATACAAATTTAGCTTTCAAATTTATTTATAGGATTTCAATGAAATCATCGCGTAGACTTTATCTTTTGCACATAGCAGAAACAATAAGTATACATATCAAACAAGCTAATCTTTGTATACAAAACAAAGTTTGTTCATCCTCTTAACTTACTATGATCTTCTTCCATACGGTTACGAAATTTCTCAAAAATTTTCAATGCTATTTTAGCTTTAATTAATAACTTTGTTTCATACTATCCAACTATGTTAATAATCTGATCACTGAACCAATTCTTTAATTACTATTCAATTAATTTATTCCAAAATTTCTTAATTCTGATTCATTACATAATGAGTTTCTATTTTCTTCTTCTTTATTTATTTGTTTTTAAAAAATAATAATTAATTGAATACATTACCCTACCTTTCAATTTATCTCATCTATTCACATATGTTTATCTTTTAACTAATTACAATTTGAGTGAAAAAAACACATTGTGAAGCTAATCAACCATCATTTATTTAATATTGATTTAGTGTAGAGTATTCATTGATAAGGAAATGAACTGATTGTAATATATATATATATATATATATATATATATATATATATATATATATATATATATATATATATATATATATATCTTCATTCATATATTATGTTTTTCATTTTAATAATTAACATTAATTTAAATAATGTATCCAATATAAAGGTAGTAAACTTTGTGTTATATCCGAATAGAAATGTAATTATTTCATAGTAACTAGTAAGGTTTTTTTTCATTTTTAAGGTCATGAAGTTACTTGTGAAAAAAAACCCAAATAAAAACTAATGTCAATAGTTGAAATCGTAAGCCAATTGAAGCTAGACCACCATGGAAGACCTGGAATCACTGGACGGCCGTTTTGTCGTAGTATGGGACTCCTTGGCAGTACGTATCCACGATCCCGCTCCCCGCGAGATTCGAAGCCAGGACCTATGAGTCTCGTACGCGAGCGCCATGACCAGTGGAGTTTACCCAGGTCTGTTGTGAGATATCAGCTGACTGAAGACAATGGTTTACGGTGGCGCAATTTCGTGGATTAGTTGGAGTTAGACATTAACACCGTTGGATGCCGGCTTAGTGGTTTAGTGGTCAAGCGCTCGCGAAAATGATAGGTCCTGGGTTCGAATCCCACTAAGCGGGGTCGCGGACTTGCACCGCTGAGGAATCCCATACTAGAGCGAAACGCCCGTCCAGCGCTTCCAGGTCCTCCATGTTGATCTAGATTAAAATGACTCATGATTTCAACTATTAAAATCTCCACAAACCCCTTCTGATAACTAATGTATCAAACTTTGAAAGAATGTCAAAAATACAATAAAAAAGGTATGTGAAATTGTATCAATGTTCCAACATTGATTGAAATTTTATACATGTAATTACGTTTTTTTATTAAAGAATAATGCAAATATCATGTAAATGGCTATAAAAAAAACTCATTGAGACTGAATTACTTTCAATATTAGTTAATCGTTAGATAAAAGAGAAAACATAACCTAGGAGAAGACTTCGTAACTGCACAACTTTTATCATATTTAAGTATTCAAATTATAGAACATACATATTATTATGGGTTAAATGACTCACTATTTCATTCAAGCAAATAATACAATTATATGGATGAAAACAATCGCTTTATTCGAGACTAAAAATTTTTGCTATTTTAGATTATGTCGGAAAAAATAAAACAAAAGTAGAATACGTTCTACACCAGCACATGTCACGGGAATTTCGGATTTCGTACACTATATTAATTTAACAAGTAAGTGTAAGATGGTCTATCTTAGTGTTTACAAAGATTAATCACTGAGCAGTAACCAACAATACATATGTCGAATCATTTATACTAATAAACATCTTATCAAATTGTAAAATAGCCATAATAGTCTAGGTGATTCAGCACTATGTGTAGATGTTCAATGTTTAGATGTATTAAGAAGTAAACCCTGAACTGCGATCTCATATGAAATGATTGACATATACCGATGCCACCTAGTGATATTAAATTCACATCACAATCAGCAGTTATAATGAAAGCAGATAAGGTAAATGATAAATAAACATGAGCTAAAGATATAACCAACAAAGAATATATTTGATTGAGATCCCCAGTACAGATGGAGAGTTAATACAATGAAATAGGCGGTCAATAATATGAGAACTGACCATATGGAAAATGAAATACTCACAGTGTGGTGCATGCTACTTATGTCTGTCGAAATAAGTAGCATGTAACACAAATCACAAGAGTAATGCATGGCAGCAGGCTATGAAGGTTGACTTCAAGAAAACAGAAACTGAAATAAAAAGGAATTGTGACTTGGAAGAATCATACACAATGTGAAGGACAAATGATGGAATTTTGTAAATGAAGTGTCCAATGTATGGTTCTCATATTTTACCAAGAGATTCTGTAATTTTGCATTCAAACACATTGGTTGTCCCACCTGTATTCTCGTTCACTACAATAGGTGCATATATATTTTTTAAAATAATTTATATCTGATGTATAAAACATACAATTTATAGTTCACTAGACAAATTTACTCGTAAATTTAACTAATTAACAATTAATAAGACATACCTGTTGTTGATGCAGCAAAATCCAAATAAGCAATTGGTTGATCTAAACAAGGTGCTTGTATAGTGAAATTCGATTTCCGTCTATTGTATTCTTCAGAGTCAAGTATTATTGGCCAATGATTAAACGGAATACGATTAGTAGCCTCCTAAAAATCCATGAAAAACAATTTGCGAAAACCAAGTCGATATTTAAGATTATCTGAAATTTCTAATTAAAAAGTATTATGATCGTGTTGTTTAAATGAACAGAAATTTTTTCAGATCGACTTAGAAACCACTTTTCATATGAGAAACACTATCTGGATTTATAGTAAATTCATATCCCGATGCGAATAGATGAATCTATGATGTATGATGATAAAAGTAAATGTAAATGGTCACTGAGTACATACAGCTAATCGACAATTCAACATGATTTCCTCCCCTGTTATTGATTTTTACTTAGGATTCACGTACAGTAAACTGCTTGTAATTAGGTGACAAAAGTATTGTCTAGCATTTGGTTCGGTTTTTAATTCTTCATCATTAATCATGTATTTGGAATAACATGACTCAGTCTCCGTATTATGTACCGTTTAGGGTGCTAAGCAAATGGTGTTAAAGACGCGCCAACGTAAACTAGTCTTGCGGTAAGTCTGAAATTTACGTTACAAACATACGGTATCTAATACAAAGTATTTAGATATTAATGAATCCTATTATACAACGCATATATGGCATTAGGATTACTACTTATATCAAAGTGGATCGACTATCAAAACACGAGCCCGGAAAAGCCCTAATCCTTCGGATATTAACAACTCTGTTGTTACGTATACCCCATACCCAGTAACTCCTTTCGAATCAGATAATGTTAGGAGTGGACCTACACCATACATGCTGGTAGATGCCTCAGTCATAATAACCAGTTCTACATCATGATCAATAATCATAGATAATAATAAGAGTGAATTAGACAATATGTGCATAAGCAATTAGGCGATATGCGTTCAAAAGGGAAGCCACTTGCAGGCTCTTTATCAAAGCATGATTATCTTAAGCAAGAACGAAAGGCATTATCACTCCTTAAACTTCTAGCGTCGAAGTATGTTGTTCCTGCGAAACTTGAAGACATTACAAAAGTAGAATCTGTTATCGATTTTATCGCTAGCAAAGTTACTACGCCAATGATCTCTCGAAATAACGTGCTTATCTATTACATACCTGACAAAATCGAACTTAAATCCGTGAAGAATTAAATATTTAAATCAGCAGCAGATAGTCCATGTCAATGTATTCACCTTAATTAAAAGTACAAGGAGTTCACGTGCCCTATCTCGTTTAGATTCTATTCACATTTATTGGCTGAACAGCTGAAGGAATCTGAACAGTTAATCTGCGCGCTTACGAAGTTTAGGAACTCTCGTAGTCTCACATAATACCAACAATCAAAAGCTTACTCAAAAGTGTACCATAAACGAAAATAGCAATGTTGAGACTACAGCAAATCCCGTTGCCTCAGTAGCAGGACCCACTTACCACATATCTGCAGCAAGTGTGGTGTAGACCCACTCCTAACATTATCTGATTCGAAAGGAGTTACTGGGTATGGGGTATACGTAACAACAGAGTTGTTAATATCCGAAGGATTAGGACTTTTCCGGGCTCGTGTTTTGATAGTCGATCCACTTTGATATAAGTGGTAATCCTAATGCTATATATGCGTTGTATAATAGGATTCATTAATATCTAAATACTTTGTATTAGATACCGTATGTTTGTAACGTAAAGCTCATTATTATTATTATACTTTTATATTAACATAGTATATTGAAGAGAGAGAAAAATATTGTAAATCATGCGTTAAATTAATGTAGAAGTGGAAAACTAAAACCATAGATCATAACCACATAAAAAAGAAACCAGCTTTAATTGCACCTAATACGACAACAAAGGTAAACTTCATCCTTAGTTTGTCTTCATTTTCAGTTTGGTCTGAAAATTTAAAGTAGATTTATTATCCAAGTAGAACCGTAAACCAAAAGGCCAGTGATTGAAAATCTGGCAACTAGTAAATTAACTGTCCCACATTCATATAAATACTTTTAATGGATACATTTTGAATACATTTGTAATACATAATACTGTGGCATTTAGCTTTTATTTAACTGACGTACGAAATTAATAAACAAAACTGTAAAACGATGATTTCTGTTTTTTGATGCAGAAAAATAAATTACGTGACTGAGTCGCGTATGTGAACTGTTAGTCAGAATAAAATTATAAACGACGAAGCTTCCAAAGAATAATCTTTAATCATTCATAAGGAACAATAATAGAAGCATAACATTTCAAAATGATACCATTAACAAATGAATATTAGACAATGCTATATGCACTGACCTTAGATTTTAATAGTTTAATCAAATTATTTTGCGTGAAAATAACTGTTGCTCCTGAGTGCTTTACAACATTCCAAATTAAATCCAACGAAGCGTCTAAACTAGGAGTGTTCGGCCGAAAGTATACATTGGGAAAGCTTCCAGTACCAGAAGACAATTGACCAGCACTACCACTAACCGGTGAATTCCCATTATGCCCACCACCACCTCCTAAACCTAATAAACTTATACCGGATGATGATCCTGAACCAGGTGGTCCAGATAACAGCCCAATGGGACCAGAACTAATTGTAGCACTAACAGAGCTACCACCGCCAGGAGCAGAAGAGTCTATTCGAGGCGGGCGTACCGGTACAGGAATGGCACCAATTAGAAGACAAGCGTAAAATGCACAAACAAGCTCAGTGCCTGTGAAAGTATAAAAGAAGAAAAAAGAAAAGATGCATAGGAACATGATACACTGCTAATACATATATTCAACATAAACGATAATAAACACTAATTCATTACTGAATTGAATTGTTCGCAAATACAATGAATGATTGTCTGCAGCGCGTTTTTTATACATAATATTAACTTTAAGGAAAACAAACAAATGGGAACATTCGAGATGTGGTAATAACTATGAAAGAGAAATTATCAGAATGAAATGGATTTGTAGCGAAAGATTTATTATAGTACTTCTCCTCAAATAAATGAGTTCTTAATCACAACTAACAACACGTATGTTGATTCAGAAACATTTTAAACTACGAAGAAAATATAAATCAATGTGATGAAATGTTGATCAATGTTACTGTCTGCTTATTAATGATTGATCAAAATCACAGTTTTAAAATACATACTTATATGGTACAATTAGAAAACGGAGTTTATCAGTATCCTTGTCTGTAAAAATGAGTCTAATACATTTCCGGAAGTCTGATCACATAGTAATTATTACGATAGTTATGAAGAATGAAAATGAGAAAGAAAGAAAAACATTTAATATGTTCACATGTATAACAAAAGAAAAATTAATAGAATTAAACTATACTGATAGCCTTGGAAGACATACAATCAGGCAATCACAGTGAATTTAGGATTGATTTCCAAGAAGGGATTGCGAATACGCAATTGCCGGATAAATTTCATGACAAGATTTCGTATTTTGACTGATTTCCATGATGCCATTATTATAGATTATCAACAGAATCATGGATTACTGAGAAAAAGTATGTTATAAAATTGTAGTCTGGAAATGGAATACAGAAATAGGTGCAGAGTCCACGAATGAGGCTATTTTAGGATTTCTAAAGTTAGGAATGTGAGGTGTACTGTGTTAGAGGTTGGGACTGTTATGAATTGCATAACAGATTGAAGACAATAGTATTTTAAAACTCTACGTTCTATGTAATTCTGCCGGTTTTCCGTGAAATCCATTTCATTCCGATTAGGTGAAGATTGGTGAGTAACCTCAAGATTGCTCTTAGAATTGCCTAAGTCCGTCAGTATAGTCTAACTCTAGTGAAAATCAATATTATCAAAAAAGGCTACGTCTAAGTAGAAATATTTTTGCAAACAATGAATGTCTGCTTAGTTTTAGATTTACCGATTTTAAGTCTTTATTCGTGATATATTTATTATACGCCACGTTATAAAAATTGTGTTTTTTTTCGGTAGGTCAATTGAATAATTGATAGATGAAAAATATAGTTTACAATGAATGAAAAATGATATATGTCATATAAGTTTGTTTGTGCCGACATTTGATATTTAGCATGATACTGATAATGTTACTAGTTCTATTGATTTATTTTGACCTTTTTTTATGATACTAATAAATTAAACAACGTGATCAGACTATGAGAAGAATAGTGAATTGATGGTTTGTTGATAAAATTCATCTTTATATCATCGTATATTACAGGTTTATTCAAAAAGGAAAACTACTTTTCCAAGAAAGAAAAAAAGTTATTTCTTAACTACATTTAATAATATACGAATATTCGTCAATATTTGAAAGAATCGTTTAACAGAAATTAAGATCATATTATCCTAATTCAAAATTGAATTGTACAACATTATATATGTTCTTTGATAATTTTCATTTAGATTATTATCTTGAAGAGGTTCAGATAAGTATGATGAACGGAATGTTGGAATTATTTAAATTTCAATAGTCGAGATTATTTCCAAATACAATATTTACAAATAATACATCTAATCTTATCATCATAAAATTTGAATGTATCATATAAATGATACTTTAATTCTTGAAATTTCAACCTTGTTTATAAGCATAAAACATTATAACAGTTTTTTTCATCTGACTACAATTACTTCAAATTCTAATTAATTATGTATATTTTCCTAGACTAATCATATTATGTAATGAGGTATAAGGTGGATACCTAGCCTGTCGTATGCCCTAACTTTCGGATTGCGCGACCTGTCAAGGGCGATGGGACAGTGAATGATGCTATTGTTGTGCGCCCCTCGAATGACCCCAAATGCCCTGGTACGGCCGAGAGTGGGGAGAGTCCGCTCTTCCTCTCGAAATGCTCTCACACGGCCTCGCGTATATAGTCTCTGCCAGGGAAGTCCTACTCACAGCCTTCTCGTGACGGGGGTGTTGTTTAAGAAAATGAGAGGACGAAAAGCGAACGTCCGGCGCTTTAACCGGATCCCAAACCAATGGTGCACATGGGCTCCAGTATCCTGCGGGAACAAATGGCGTATGAACCAATTGTTGGTCACCGGCTTCCATGGGACTGCATCTCCTTACGATGCTCCACTGCTGTGTGGATCAGACCTTCAAGTCAAAGGCTCGGGGTGTGGCCCCCTAAGAAAACCACTGTTTCGGACTGGGCACTCAGGCAGTATCACAGCCCACGCACAATTATGAACTATCTATATTTATGGAAAATATTATTCTTGCTGCGATTAACAATCAAATGATTCAAATATTATTGCTATTATTATTATTTACTACATCATTATTCACCCTCTTTTATTCCCACTCTGTCTATACTTATTTTTTTCGACTTATACAGCATCTCGTCTATGGTGGAAATTCGACTCTATCTAAACGTTCTCGAGTCACTGTTCGGTTGAAAATTGTATGTTACCACTGAATATGAGTAATGAAGCAGTTTTTCTAAAACCACGTGCACCATTCAAACTTACTGCCTTCAACATTTGCACACTTATGCAGGTTGGACAACAGACAGGGGTGGCTATGTCTTTGGAAAGTCTTAATATCGATGTCTGCTGTCTATCTGAGACCCGTATTCAAGACTCTGGTGAAGTACTACAAATTCGCTCTCCATCTGTCGCTTCGAAAAGCTTGTTTTACGTGCGCTTATCCGGAGATCTTGTAGCATCTTCGTCTGGTCTTGCTGGCGTTGGCGTCGCACTAAGCTCTAGAGCTGAGGCAGCACTAATCGGCTGGATCCCCGTTAACAGTCGGTTATGTGCTGTTAGATTAGGATGATCTATCAAAGTGAGAAGAAATCGGTGTGAGAAACAATGTCTTTTCGTCATCTCCACCTATGCTCCGACAGATTGCAGCCCGGATGCAATCAAGGATGAGTTTTACCACCAGTTATCTGTTCTTCTCTAGAAAGTGCGTTCGACAGATATTATAGTACTAGCCGGAGACTTGAATGCTCAGTTCGGGTGTCTAGGCACAGAAGAGAGTCGTCTAGGTAGCCGATGGGGACTTGTTGGTCGCAGGACAGATAACGTGGACCGTCTACTGCAACTATGCACAGACCACAATCTGTTTCTGGCTAGCACTAACTTTCGGCACAGTCATCGCCGATGTGCCACCTGGTGTCCTCCTTCTGCATCTCAAGCCTGGACTCAGATTGATCATATCGCGATCAGCTACCGCTGGCGTGGTTGTGTGCAAGATTGCTGCTCCTTTTGGAGTACCTTTCTGAACTTTGATCATGCCCTGGTCTGCACCAATCTTACATTACTTTTCAGTGTCCAACGAAGTGACCGCCACCAACAGATTGATGTTAACAAGCTGGTTGCAAATTCTGTTGCAAGTAAGTATCAAATCGAGCTAGCCTCTAGGCTAGCTACCACTCCACCGAAAAGTATAGATGAGCATTAGTCGCAATTGCATGACGCCATGAAAATGGCGGGTACAGTCAGTTGTGGGTTTGCGAAACGTCACACTTATAAGCACTGGGTTTCTTCTGGTTCCTTACAACTTATTGAAGCCCGTCGGTCTACTCCGGGTGAACGTGAGTTTGACCACAAACGAAGGATGTTACGTAAGGAAATTGGGCAAAGCTTGCGTAAGGACCGAGAAGCCTGGTGGTCGAAGCGTGCTAATGAGCTGTAAGCAGCAGCTGCATCTGGTAACTACCGGAAGCTTTTCCAACTCATCCGAGCCACTGGCAGCAAGAAGTTTGGTGTAAGTGAAACAATCTGTGAGGATGACGGGATGCCAATCACTAACATCCATCGACGTCTTGGACGGTGGGCAGAATTCTTCGAAGGGCAGTTCAACTGGCCTGCTGCTCCGGCAACATCGGTCAGACTGTCCTGCCCTCCATGGCCGGTGACGACCGATCCACTAAATGAAGTAGAAGTCCACAAGGAACTCCAACTCTTGAAGCGTTACAAATCACCTGGCCCAGATGACTTACCTCCGGCTCTTTTTAAAGATGGTGGTGACTTTATGACAAGGGAAATTGACGACGTTGTTTACGAAGGTTTGGGTGTTAGAGAGTGTATCAACGTCATGGAATGAGTCGATAGTTGTCCCTATCTTTAAAAGGGTTCACGTCGTTCCTGCAACAACTATCGGGGGATAAGTCTACTTCCGATTGCGTCCAAGCTATTGGCTTCCGTTACACTTCGTAGGTTGTTCAAAACCCGACAAAGATTGACTTGCGAGGAGCAGGCTGGGTTTTGTTCTGGGCAAGGATGTATTGATCATATCTTCACCCTCCGCCAAATGTTAGAACACCGCCATACTTATCAAAGGCCAACAATCGTAGTGTTTCTCGTCATCGAGGCTGCCTTCGATTCGTTGGATAGGATTGTTCTCTGGGATTGTCTATTGAAGAAGGGTGTGCCTGAAAAGTTCATTAACATCTTAAAAGCCCTATATACAAACACTTCAGGCAGAGTGAGGGCATACAACCACCTCTCTCCATTGTTCGATTCGAGAAGTGGGGTTAGGCAGGGTTGCCCTATTTCACCATTCCTCTTCAACTTTACCATCGATGACATTCTGGAAACAGCTCTGATGGATGTAAGTAATAGCAGTGTGGATCTATTGCCTGGAGAAACACTTCTCAACCTTCAGTATGCGGATGATATTGTCTTACTGTGCGATAATGCCCAAGGCATGCAATCCGCACTTAATCAGTTGGCAATCAGTGTCCGTAGGTATGGTATGTGCTTTGCACCTCCGAAGTGCAAAGCACTTCTACAATACTGGCAGGATTCTAATCCTGTACTCACTCTGGATGGTGAGCAGATAGAAGTAATCGAGAAGTTCGGTTATCTGGCCTCTCCGCGTTGAGGATGTTAGACAACTCTCTGTGTTCGATCATCGTTGTCTGCGAAGGATTGCTGATATCCAGAGGCAACACCATGTTAGTAATGCAGAAGTTCGGCATCGTGTGTTCGGGTGCAGAGATGATGATTCAATTGGTGTCACCATCTTGAAACACCGACTTCGGTGGCTTGGATATGTTCTACGAATGTGGTCCCAGATAATTCCACGTCGTGCGTTAATTGCCAACGCTGGGACTGGTTGGAAAAAGCGGAGAGATGGTCAGTGTATGACATGGTGTCGTGGTATGAAAGAAATAATATGAATGGTATGACGTAGTGATCAATGTTTGTGCTTTGTGGAGTAATTTGGCGATTAAGAGAGTGGCGAGTGGATTGATTTAAGAATATAGTATAAATCTTTCAGTGGGTTTATATGGTCCCAAGCAGTTAATACAAGATAGATGCACACAAACAGCCACATATATAATATATGGATTAAAAAAAACGCATAATTACTCATTTGAATAAGCAACAACAAAAAAATAATGAATAAAATTAAACTGACACATTTGAATATCACATGGGTGTTCGATCGCATAGAAGGTTTTTACAGATATGACAGACAAATTCATTACGGTAAAATTACAAACTTAAATGATCTTGATGAACAGTATATGGTTGCTAACGAGTAAGAAGTCAAATCGATTATGCATTAACTTATTTCATTTAATAATAATAATAATCTTACTTTACATAAAATGCTAACTACAATATGGAACTCTGAGAATATATTATTGCAACACGTTTTTAGATACTCTTCGTGGAAACTCATAACATCCAATTCACCAATTGGACTACAAAGAAGAGAACTCAACGAATAAAATTTCCTTCTCAAAGAAATCGTTTACTTAAGCTGTACATTTGTTGTCATAGTTAGATGGCAAATATCTAAGTTCATAGAAAGATAGAAGAGATCACATCATAAAGCGATTCGAGATTTCAAATATCAAATGGAGGTTGTGAAGAGTTTGAGAAAAACAGGAGGATGAAAAAAATTTACGAGTAAGAAATAGTTCGACTTCACAGAAACGAAGAAAAATGAAATTAAACCCACCTGGAGGATATAGTAACGCAACAATTGTTCCCACTTGAGCTTTACCTTTTTCTTTTAACTGAACTGCTAATCTTTCTGAACGACGTAAAAGTTGACTACAAGTAAGTGTCGAAACTTCTTGTCCTTTAGTATTATAAACAGTAAATAATCTGTCGTCTGGAGTGTGGTTTGCTCTGTGAATAAGTATCTCAGTTAACAGTTGAAACTACAAAAAAGTGAAAATAAATGCATACATAATAACCATTCCAGTTTCAATGGATTCAAAGTTCTTTACATACACCTAACTAGCTCTTTCAAACTTTATTTTAAACAACTTAGTTTGAGTGGGTTTTTGACTAATCTCCGTGTTGACAGTCGAAAATAGATTTTGACTGATCTTACTTGGTGGATCTTGTGAAAATTGCATCAACATAGATATTTTTCCCACATGTTTCACAGAAAACAAAGGTGATCTCAGTTTACTAGTGTTAACAAGCAAATAGTATTGTTCTGCAGACGTAAATTTCAGGCAATTATGGACATGAATAATTTATAGGACTAGCAATTTGTGTGCAGGAATCCTTTCAAACACTGTATACCCTCTTTCGATGAAACTGTACCTACATTTTTGTCACGTGTACAACTACGAAACAACCGTTTAATTTGGCTGAATTTCAATGTAGCGAATAAACGTATTTTAACACTAAACATTTTGTCCAAAATCTCAACAGCTGTAATATAATAAAATAACGGAAGATAAATCTGAAGGTGTGGAAAGATAAAAACGAGAACACTTGACACTAACAATTAGAATAGCTTACTTCATTATCAGGTGAACCAGAAGTTATATTAGAAGATGGAGATGATCCTAAAGGTCTTCCACGTGCCTCTGCAAGCCTAACTCCTTGAACAACTTGACCGACCATCATAGCAGATGGTCCAACCAAACTAGGTCTGAGTTGTCGAGGTTGGGGTAGATTTTGTATAGCAGAATGCGGACAAAGCAACAATGCTGTAGGATGCAAATGACCTTCAGAAAAAAGTCTTTTCACAGAATGACAATTTATTCCACCAAAAGGTGTCTGTAAATAACAAATAAACACAATATCAATGTTGTTGAAAACAATGAAAAAAAAGCTTCCTTTATTCAATATAAGTAAAACCAGAAAATTATCCATACAAAAAATCCATATCTTAAAAATAAGCTGAAAATTTAAATATTATATTTCAGGGAAACAACTAGGAATTGAGGAAACCAGACTACAGAAATACTGTTAAAGGGTCGCATAACAGAATGAAACTGCTAAAGTCGATCCCGAAACAAAACCCTTCGATGAAATCATACACCCAATGTAATCGGAAATGAATAGGAAAAATGTGTTGTAATTGTACAACACATTCTGAACATTTACTTTTCATGGAATTTCACAAAAGCTCAAACTAATAGGTAACTAGAGATTGAAAAGTTATTTTAAGGTTTTTCTGGATTGTTTTAATAATATGTTTACTTATAGAGTAAATTATTAAACCAATCAAGGTAGTTTATGAGTCAATGATAACAATGAAAACGACTACATAATAAGTGAAACGTGAAAAGTACAAATTGATGGTGTGGCAACAGGTGCATTAGTTTTGATAAGAACAATAAAGGTTCAAATCAATGTTACATAATCGGAAATAGGTCAATGATTAGAAAAAATATAGAAACTGAGATAACAATTATAAAATTATAAGATAACGTAATAAGAAATGTTCAGATAATTGGACCATGAGACGTATAGTTGAGAGAAAATAAAGTGGTAGGAGGGGGTGAAGAGAAATAATAAACGAAGAGAAAGTTAGAAAAAGAATAAATAAATTCATTTATTACTTAAGGCCAGGGGAGAGATAAGGGTGTCACAAATTTCTTCTGAACACAAAGACTTGGCTTGTTGGTTCGGATTCCTATAGCTTCTGCTATGTGTAAGAGACGAGATCGAACACCATAAGGAAAACTAATGGGAATATGATAAATAACTTTGAACGACTTGTTTCTGTCCACTATATGACCGCTATCGATCGAGTGTGATAGAACCGAGCTGCGTATTGTTTTGACGTAACCTTTTCCTAACCACGAAGGGAGGTGTTCACTAACTCGTTGGTTCAGTTGCCTGGCAGTGCGCCCAATACAGCTTTCTCCACAGGAGCAGCTGAATTCGTAGATACACATAGAAGTGGCATAACCAGGTGACTTATCCTTCAATTGCGGAATCACCATCGATCGGGTCGAATACGATAGGCAGAGGTTGGCAGCATTAAACGTTCTCTTTACTGATCTTGTCAATCTATCCCGTAATACATCGCTAGCTAAATCACCATTGAATTGCAGCTTCAAGGAAAGCAGTTTCTTATTAGCCGTCAGAGTCACTATTTTCTTGTTTTGTACCCGCAAGTGTTTCTTCAGGAAACCCAGTGGATATCCCAATTCAGTCAAAATATTATGAATGTGTTGTAATTCCCTATCAATTGTATCGACTGAGCATATCTTAAGAGCTCTATTTGCAAAACATTTGACTAAGTTTCTCTTATAATGACGAGGCACAAAGCTTAAAAAATGTGTGTATTGGCTTGGAGAAGAACTTTTTCTATACACACCTCTGCTGATAGAACCATTTTCTTTTCTACTTAACAAAACGTCCAGGAAATTTAGTTTGTTATTTATTTCCTCTTCATATGTAAGTTTAATAGAAGGATGTTTGTTATTGAATAGTTCCAGTAGCTGTTCTTTTCTAATGTTCTGATCGTCAATAATGAAGGTGTCATCAATGTAACGTAATTAGTATGACCAAATGTATAAACATTGTCGAAATATTTAGTGGTCAATTCTATGACACACAATAATGATTTTATTATTTATTTTGTTCACTAGTCAAACTATTCTTACCTAATTTTTACAGATAAAAACAAACAATTAATAAATATATTGGTTGTTCGGATCCTCTTATTGATGTTTAGAACTGTGATCGATTAGTCGATTTGGGCATTATAAATTCTCCAACTACTGACTATAGACTCATTATCATAATAGGTATGTACAGTTACAATATAGAAAAAACAACAACTAGGCAATAACAGTGTATATGTCATCAGTTATGCGCATAGTTACACTTAACTGTTAACAATGAATTCTGCGTTGTGAATGAAAACCATGAAGAAACAACTAAATGTCTCAAAAAAATAATCAAACCTTACAAGGAAAAAGGTGTCATCAATTAGATAGAGTACGAGCAGATTATTATTGATCTGTTTTGTTGTTGTTATTGTAAAAAAAACATTCTTTTCAGTTATCATTTAACATGGGATATGAAGGGAGTGTGAAAGACGATACGAAAATCTATTCATGGAACCATTTGTATCAATAATTTTTTTTCTAGCAAAAACAAATTGGCCTAGAGAAACTTGAATGACGGATGGATAGATGAATGCACTAGTGCACTTATAAACACATATATACATGCTTTTTGTTTAAGTGGAAGTATAAACACTGGTCATTCAAAAAGAAAGTGGAATTAATCAATAAAATTCAATATATAGAGGGGTGGATTGATACACACACAGAGAGAGAAGAGACCGAGACAGTAACGGCACAATTTCTGATATTTCATGTGAAATACAGGTAAGGGACAATAGCGAAACAACTGACATCACGAATGAATAAGATTTTTTAAAAGGGATCAATAAATGCAGTATGACAATTCAGTGAAGTGACTTAGATCTCAAACATTTGCACTAATGCGTAATTTAGTAGAAACGTACGTTATTTGATACAAAGTTCTCGATTGTATTTCAGTTGACGAAAATGTTATTTGCTCCAAAAAATTGATTTTTAACATGTCACAAGATAACCACCTAGAGGAAGCTATAGTTTCTTGCAAAATATATTGATGGTGGTTATGACAAAGTGAGACAATGTGCTGTGATTTTGAGTTGCTGTATTACGACAATAAAACACCTATCGTAAAAAAAGCACGTTTTGTAACCATTGAGTCTTAGGAGTTAGTTTGAAACAACAACAGATGGATTCGAGTTAAAGTTGGAAAAATAATACTAGATGGGTTGCCGACAATGAGTCAAAGGTCGAAATATAAGTCCTGGATTACGTCGGTAATCATGATTAAAAATATAACTGAGAGAGATAATAAAATAACAACTAAGAAGGAGAAGGATTGCCACATACGATAAGTATTAAGATGCTTGAGATTCTGAGCACTATCCTATTCTATTTCAGACTGGATGTACTTGTGTCTCAGTGTCGATGTTCACCTTGGGACTCGCATCCAGTGCCTTTAGCGTCATACCTCTCAAAGCATATACTAATGGAACTGAGTTTAATCAAAACTCTAATACAGAGTACCAACCAATACCAAAATTCATGAAACATCAATAATAGGATAATCCAAATGCTTTCTGATAATCAAACATTCAGTTTTTTTTTTAAATAGCAAAAACAATAAACATGTAGCTTAAACTCTCCAAAATACAACTATTAAATTCTACGTATGTTAGATTAAGGCTTTTCGTTTGAAATATCAGTGAGGTAGTATGATCATTACACAGCCACACATGTAATTTGTAGAGTGAGTATCCTTATGCTTCCCACAACAAAACAATGTTCATGATTACTGGATTTAATTATTGAACGTGAATATTTTGATTGAATTCAATAAATTATTAACTGAAAGTGAATTGATTGCTTGTTTCACAAAAACCTGGAAAGAAATTACAATATTTTGATTTCGTTTTTCTTTGAAAGGACCACTTAGAAGGCATTAATTAAACAGTGGCAATATAACTATAACAACTAACAATATAAGACTAGCAAAATACATATGAAACTCACTTTCGGCAATGTATTTTGATGGACCAAAGCTAAACAATAAACACTAACTTGATGAATACTATCAACAGCTTGCAGTACAAGAGACATCCATGTGAAAGCAGCTTCGTCTGAATAACCTTGTCTTAGTTCAGCTACAATAACAAGACGTTCATCTTTCAATAAATCCACTGAGAAAACAGCAATCCTGTTCATAGACAGGTATGTGTTAAAAAAAATTCAAGAGAATGGTACAATGGTTAAAATTATCCAACTAACGGTTATTTTCAATAAATTGAAGACATACAAAATAAGAGAAACTGGTTTTCAATATGAATCGATATATGAAAGTTGATATATAAAGCTAAAACTGAAGAATCAAATGTGGCTCGACCTAACGAAGCTATTCCATCAGGCTGGTCTTACTTGGTGAAATCAATAAAATAATGCATTAATTTCAGTTATTGTTACACAACTATGGTTTAGATATACATAAAGTCGTAATTGATGACATGAATCAGAACGCACCACGTTTATGAAGGATATTTATTTTCTTATTTATTTGAACACATAAATACTCGTACAAGGGTGCACCAGATACGTGCAACACAAAACTCATTTGATTTGTGTGAGGGCTGTGATACTGCGCTGGTGCCCAAACCGATGCGGGTGGTTTTATTAGGGGTCACACCTGGAGCCTTCGACCTGAAGGTCTGGTCCATAAGGCAGTGGAGCATCGTAAGGAGATACAGTCCCATGGTACCCAGTGACCAACGATTTGTACATACGCCATTTGTTCCTTTAGGAATCTGGAGCCAATGTGCACCAATGGTTTGGAATCAGGGTTTTCCAACTCCCCTAGGCGGACTCCCCGTGTCCGCCAATCCGGTTAGAGTGACGGACATTCGCTTTCCGTTCTCTCAATTTCATAAACAACATCCCCTCCACGAGTAGAACTTCCCTGGCAGACGCTATATACACATGACCATGTGAGCATTTGGAGATGGAGAGCGGACTCTCCCCACTCTCGGCCATACTGGGACATTTGGGGGCGGTGCAGGATACATCTATTTTATAACTATTCCTATATTTCAAGAGTCAATGTTCATTTATACTAACTTTTCTAAACCATATTCTCAATTTTTAGTCAATAATATCGCTGTTAGTTTGAAACTATGGCTACTTATCGTGTTAGTTTTATTTGGCTAGAAATTTAATGTGAAGTGTAACAGTCATGAATACTATTGCTTTGAATGAAGTGACGGTTGAGAAGCTTGTTTAATTGTGAATTAATTTACAACGGTAAATAATCTAACCAGAAGACAATGTAAAACTAGAAATGCGAAATCCATAAAAATATATGAATAACAAATGCCAGGGCAGAATGACATGAATTCATTTATTTTTTTAGATTCTCCTCAGCTACTGACATCTTAAAGCTATAATATTCGCCATTAAAATGAAACAAGTTTATATATGTTATACCGGAAACACCATGAGTCAGTTGAGTTAACAAGTGAAGATAGAATAATAACAAGAAGAAATAGTGGGGAAGGATTGTTCAAGCGTTCGCTAATTGATAAGTACTTTAAAAAATATAAACCAGATTATTATTATTATTATTATTATTATTAATGGCTTTATTCAAAAGCCAGATGAGTAAAGCTCGGAAAGTAAGTATCACCTAATCTATCTTCCACTTCGGGAAACAATTCTATTTCCACGTTTTTTCTAGAATGTTCATATATATGTGCAACATGTTAATAAGCGAACAATAGAACAATAGTAATCCTTCCGTATCATTATTCTATCTTCACATATTAACTCAAGTTATTCTAGATGTTTCTAATATAAAGCGTGTACACTTGTTTTTGGTTGTAAACAGCTGATGAGAATGCACAAAATAAATGAATCCAAGTTATTCTGCCCCGATATTTTTTCTGCCTTTATTAAAGTTTATAAATAGGAAAAATCGTATGGAATGAAAATATCCCAGAGAATTATGTCACATACCTCCCTCTATAGATAATTTTTGTCGGTTGAACAGCGAGAACTGTTGCTATAATATCATCAGCATTGTGACGTCTACTTGCAATAGTCATTAAACCATCAATGCAACCGGATATAAAGATTAAACCACCCTAAAATGAAAGTTACCAAGTCAAATATTATTACGGTTATTCTTTTATGGCATTATATTTAAAAAAGAAACATAGGAGTGAATAAAAAAATTAAAATAAATGTAAGATGTTTGAAAACGATAGACAGGAAGCTATGAATTCAGCTATGTGATAGTTGCCACTTGTTAACAGGATATGATACAATTTAAACGCACATCATTCTATGCCCCACTCAGGTGTGTGGTAACTGAGAAAGATCAACTTGGCAATCAAATGATATAAAGTGTATTTTCGAAGCAAAATAAACATTGTACAATTAAAAATCAAAGATAATTGAAGCTCTGAGATTGGGATAACGTTAATGAACTAACTTTAATCAGTTTTTGACGATATATTAATAGACTTATTTATTCATTTCAATCACTTAAGCACTACCAGATAAATGAAAGCAATCAACAGGAAAACATAACCGCGATTCACTCACAGATGATGCTGGACCAGGAAACCCCATTAATCCAGATCGTGTATACTTTTTAACACCAGCAGAAGAACATACAGGAGAACCATCTTCATGTATCGGTTCCACATGAAAATGTGCGTCAGTTTGACCACGAAGACCCCAATATCCAGAACCAGTACAATCAGAAGATAAGCATATTTCACCAACTTCATCAGTTTGACAAAGTATTGGTTTGGGACCCAAACGTATGACAACTGCTGAAGCTACAGTAATACGAAGAGATTTAGTTAGGGGAAATTCGTTAGCATCAATATACAGTACAGCATGCAGTAAAAACAACTAACGAAAACCGTGTTTACATAACTATTAATTCTTACCTCCTGGCAGAACCTGTCCACAATCTTGTAAAGTAAGTGAAGTTAGTGAATCTTCAGTATCAACACGCACAACACCATAAGTAAGACTATGGATCGAAATAACTCCTCTTACTGAAGTAGGTGAAGAGGCTATAATTGAATCAGAACGAGGATTTGTGCATATTTTTCCATTTACTGAATTCATTTGATGAGGTGGACGACGTAAACAAAGTGTTAGTGTTTCTGAACTTCCAGCGCATGGACAGATAGCTTCAGGACAAAATCCTCGAGATCGAAATTTTTGTGTAAAAGAATCACAAGAGTTTAAAGACCCTTGAAAAAAAAAATTCAAGAAAAGAAACAAGCTAATTATCAAGTCATTGACACATCAGATTCACTCAATAATTGTTACGCAAATCAGTTGAATAATTCAAGAAAAAAAACACAACTATAAATCGTAATTTTGCATTCTTCACCATATCCAATAAAAAAATTCAAAGAACCAAATAAACAATGGCAAGTTGATATACTTGACTACCTCCATGTTGTTAAATATTACCGTATATTGAAATATATATCTATATGATGACCGCCACTACATTTCTTCAAGCGAATTTTGTTTTAATAGATTTTCAGTTATCTTAATTAACTACTAGAAATTATTTTTTTAAAAAGTATTATCCATAGAAGACAAAAAGATTAAAACAATGAAATGGATTATTTTATAACCATTTTATTATTGGGTATTGTACAAACTACTGATAATAAATTTTAAGTTTTACATTACGAACTTGATGTAATGTAAAGTTTCAATAAATAGTTTGTTGTGTTTTTTTTTTCAAACATAAAAAAAAGGTTTCTGTTAAATGAACTTTATGTGTCAATCAAATCAATCCTAACTTTATTTAAATACATGAATACATAAATACCATTTATCAAACTGGTTTGTAAATAAACAATATCATATGATGTGAATAGCTCCTATTAACACAATATCTATTCCATAGTTGAGTCAAATTATTATTATTTTCATGTATAAAGATTGAACATTTTGATACAGTGAATCATGAGATTTGATAATAAAAAGAAATTAAATGAATAAATAAGATCACATTATTAATAGAGCATTATATCAGACTTTCATATAAGTGAGATGTAAACAACTCCATTACCTGGAAGGTGGAGGGTTTTTTTGTGTTTAAAAATGAGCCCTCAATTAATTCGTAATCGATAAGATCTGGGGAGTTACAGTGATGAAGCACAGTTAGCTTTGTACTTATAATTTGAATAATTGAAAATTTTACAATTAGTTAGTAGTTAAGCTAGGCTGTTCAATCACTAAAGAACAAGATCGGTTACTCAGGCATTGTTGGTTAAAACTTTATCGTGACTCAGGCTTTCTGTTTTAAATCATGTCATCAATCGTAAATGCAAAACTATATTTACTAACCAACCCTGTTAAACAGTTGAATCAATGAGAAAGTAGAAAACTTATTTCGCGTTAAAGTTACGATTTATTGGAAATTTTACAAGAAATTATGACGAACAAAAGTTGAAACTACATTTAAATGAAGTGGAATGATAAGAGAATTAATCAGAATGTAATATTGACTGAATCACGTATGTTAGTGATAATATAACGTGAAATCTATGTAATCTGATATACTTCTTTCAATATACAAGAAATACAGTTATTGTTGAGAAGCACCACTGAGTAAAACACATTGACTACATTTAATTCCAATCTTATTAATTGATCAGTTCAATTAAACTGATATAAAATCACATAATTTCTTTTAATTACAAGACTAATTTATTTGTATTTCAATTATATATATATATATATATATATATATATATATATATATATATATATATATATATATATATATATATATATATATATATTTAAACACATAAATATTGGTACAAGGATGTACCAAATACGTATGCGCCACACTTCATCATTCGACTTATGTGAGGGCTGCGATACTACCCGGGTGACCGAACCGAAGCAGGTGGTTTTTTCACAGAACCACTTCCCGAGACTTTGATAAGGAGGTCTAATTCACAGGTAGTGGAGCAACGTTGGGAGTTGCGGTCCCAAGGTAGACGGTGACCAACAATAGGTTCAAACGCCATTTGTTCCTTGAGGATTGTAAAGCCCATCTGCACCACCAATTCGGAATCAGGGTTTTCCAACTCCCCTAGGTGGATCCTTCATATCTACCAACTAGTTAAACCTCCGGCATTCGCTTTGGTTGTGTACGTGTGGCCATTTGAGAGCATTTTCAGAAAGACAACGGACTTTCCCCACCCTGGGCCGTACCAGGGCATTCCGGGGCCATTATCTCATTCTTGTATACTATAAAAAAGTAATAGCAATCAATTATTTGTCCGTCATGGATAAACCAAGTAGGATTTTCCAAGAACAATATTATTTTCAACTCAAACTCACAAGGATTTGATCCATCTGCAACTAGAAGCATACGTAATGAAGATAAATTTACATTGGGATGATCCCGTTCAGCTAATAATGCCCAATGCATATCACGACTTTTTACAATAGCAACGGTTGCTGAAAGAAATTAGTAAATGGAAGAAATAAAAAGAGAGTATGGGTAGAATTAAATGAAGACGAAAAAAATAACTGACAATATAATACAGTAGTAAAAATTTATTAGAAGATATGGAATGAATGATATGTGAATATGTAAACAAAAAACAGACCATGGAAAGTACGTTAGGCAAGTAGACACAAAGAAATGCCTTCAAATTGTATCTCACATTGAATAATTCATGGGATGGATTATAAACGTAGAAAACGATCGAATGCATATTTCTATGTGACAAAGATAAATGTTGTTGACAGTCTATGCATTGGACACGACAACATACATAGATATGTAAACAGAAACAATCAAACTGCCAAACGACTCTTTAGACAGAAACAAAATTGGATGAGATAAGCATATGATATGGTTTTTATAAAATTCTGAAAATTCTAGTAAATTAAACTCATAAATTTGATCTGAATCAATATTATGCATTTTTCGCATAACCAATGCAGACAAAACGTAACAATCACTATTCAAAATTACTTATCGAGGTCAATTATTAAACAAGGAAAATGGGAATACGTATTTTCATGTCTTTTTGACTTTTCTACAAACAAACTTGTATTGTAGTGAGCTTTTATGTTTTCAGTATATTTCGAACTAAGCATATAATACTTTACAAGCGATACCGAAATACTAGTAATCCGTCATCACTTTATGTCCCGACATTTCGCCGGAACCGTAAAAAAATGAATTAAATGATTAGAGTGAATAACATCAATGTTTCATAAGAAACGAAATTGAAGAAAAAATAAATAATATAGAAGAATAATAAAATTCAGTAATTCAATAGAATGAATCAATAAATCTGAGATACCGCGAACAACTTCCGATAATATCAACTAAGGTCTTTAAAGATAGATTACGATTAACGTTCGAATTCCTTCTAACCACACAAGCTAGACTCGTAGTCAATGCTATGCATTTTAAATAACTCAAGCATTTCTACAACCTCTTACAAAACACTAAAATAATCTAATTTTGCTCAATCAATGCAATAATTTTATAAGCGCTTTAATTGTTCACGTACGAAACCAATATCAATCAACCTATTAAAGCATTCGAGTTGCTTCTTTTTTATACACTAACGTTAAACCAGTTATAACGGTGCTTAACTATTCCACAATAATGATGTGATTTATAGAAAAACTTTAATATACTTTGATTGATAACTCTTGTTTTCATTAAACAATTTTATACACTATTCAAAGTCAACTATCATGAAAATGTTATCTTAGAAATATGTTACAAAATATAGAAATGATACTTAAGTTCATGCTCAGTTCATAAGGATAACAATCATTGAACCATATAAATCTTTTTATAAAATATTTTTGTGAAATTAAAACTATTGAAAATGCTGCAATAAAAGAAGTGAATATAATGAATTTCAGTGACAATAAAATCTCTATTATATTTCAATTAGAGTGTAAACATGGTCATATAATTGTAATTATTGTAATAGTATTATTAGTAAAATATTCACAAATATATGTATAAAACGGTACATTAGCATAGAGTTAATGCATATATTGTATAAAACCAATAATTACCTCGGTACTTGGTAACCATGCGTAACCAAGAGCCAGGATCAATCTGCATTACTGAATAAGGCACAAATATTACATGTAACCCATTGAAGACGCTCTAAAGACAGAGAATAATTAAAAGAATCGAAGTAAACATTACATCAAAAGGTAAAGAACTTTTGTTAACGTAGAAAATATGGAACTAATCTAAACATGATAAAACAATCACATACAACAAGACAGACGTGATAGTGTAGTGAACGAAGACTTAGGTGGACAAGACCAATTTATTACAGTCTTTAAAATTATGAAAACTATACACTAAATACTTGATTTGCACATTTTACATCAGTTGTCATTTACATTCTTCATGATTCTTCCAATCCTACTTTTATTCCAATTTCTTTCTGTTTCCCTTTTGGTTCTTTTCAGCTCAATCTCCTCAATCCTCTTATTCTACTTCTGATTGATGTTACATACTACTTATATCTGTCAACATAGGTAGCATGTACACACAATAGTATCATATTATATACATTTCGCAGTTTAGGGAAACTCAACTCAAGAATTGATATGAAGCTAATAAGCTGACTTATCTAACAATCTCTGAATGAAAAACATGAATATTATGGGGGTAATGTAGGTCAATTTTTATAAAACAGAAACAATATTCAGACATAGTAATCGTTCATTAATCTTTAGAGGTGGTTTGTTTAACAGAATGAACTTACTATCCATGGAATTGTTTACTTGAAAAGTAGACAGGTTAACAACATCTAAAAGTTTTCTAGCTTATGCATTATATGTATCAAAAAACAGTATGATATAACATACTAAATAAGATATAATAGATACGTACCGTCAAAACAGCATGCCATAATCCAATTTGTCGGCGGCAATCTACAACACAGACAACAACATCCTCTTCAGAATAATTACAAGCTACAGTTAATGCTCGACAATGAGAAAGAGCCGCACGTCGACTTATCATTACACCATGTACACTGCCATCTTTACTAAATGTATACTGAAAAGAAAAACAGAAAAAATTAGTTCGCATACTTTGTTTATGATTGACAGGAAGGGAAATTGTAGTGATAAACAAAAATCTGAAAATCGTTGTTTATTATTGATTAATATTATTACTTATTTTAATTTCCTGACCAAATTATCAGATGTTGACATTCATGACTATAAAGGATATAAACCTTATCATTTAATCCAGGACAAGAAAATAGAATAATCAACAAGGAACTACATATAAAACTCAAAGAACAAAGAAAAAAATAGGAGTTAAGTACAATAACTTCAGATTATCTAGACAAATTCAGTTTATAGGTTTACACATGACAGTAGACAAAGAAATTGCAAAATATGTTATGCATTTAGCTGAAACTATCTAAATACTTCAGCGAAATATATTGTAAATCAAAGTTAGATATCATATTTAAGCCAAAAGCTGTAACTACCATGAGGGATAAAAGGAAGTATTTTAAGTTTCATCACCATAATTAAAGAATTTACGCATAGCATTCAACCAGGTCAAAAAACTATTCTAATTTCTTTGTTTGGAAAGAGGTTGCACGACAATGAATTTGCAATGAACCTGATAGTTTTAGTTCATTTTATGAGTAAAAAAGGGTATTATATAATATTTGAAATAACGTATTAGCCTGAAATTGTCAAGATATTATGTAGAAAATTACTTAAGAAAATTTATAAGTGTTTGTATCTTTACGTTAATATTAAAGACTAAAGATTACACTCATTCACGTTTCACAAGCCAGTGGTTACTTGAACTCAGTAACTCAGTGGATAGCACATTGAATATCTGAAGTGAAAGGCATTGGGTTTGAGTCCCAAAGTGGGCACCAACACTGGAATGCATAAAGCTGACGAGTTCCAAGTGGGATGGAGTGCGTGCCCTATATTCTATTGCTACCTATCACCCAACCTTACTAAAATATTAATTAGGACTCAGCTTCATGTAATCAGTCAGGCACATTTGTAATGAGTACTAAAGGATTAATTCTATAAATAACGATTATTCCGAAATTAATTTGTATCTCCACAAGATTTACAAATTCTTATAAATGAATAATTATTGGTCGCCACCATTAAACTGAGATTAACTCATGATAAAATTCAGTCATAAGTTTCGATAATGATAATAACTTGAAAAGAGATTTCGATCTATGTTTTTATGAATAATACAACATAGTGACAGATATAAATAATTTGATAAGTTAACATTGTTTTAAGAAAGCAAAAGATATATTAAAAAGGATTGGGGTTAAATAACGATGGACATTTATAAACAAGTTACACAACTATATATATAATCGAATGAATCATCCCTGAATTGTCATGACTATGAATAATTTTACATGTTATTTCCTGTTACTAAAACTTACAAACAAATAAGATAAATAATGTGGGCGGGAGTGGAAGGGTTAAATGAATATTTGTGTACAAATGACTGTGAGAGTAAGTAATTATCTATTCGGCTTTTCTATCCCATAAAGATATTAAGAAAATGAAGGGGATAAGAAAGGAAGAATTGGAATATGCATGAATTTTTGTGGCCAAAAATAAAACTATTGCATAATCACATAAAAATGACTAATAAAGCCTAGACCAGAATCAAATACCAGTAACTCTTTTAGTTTAAATGGATAAATGTAAGCCAAGGACTATCTATTTTCCTCATTGGAATCGCGAAATGATCTTAAATAGATCACCATTGAAGACATGGAAGCACTGGGCAACCATTTCGTCCTACTATGAGACTAATCAGCAGTACACATTCACGATCTCTCTAGCGGGACACGAGCCCAGAAACTTCTGTCTCGTGTGAGAACGCTTAACCTCTAGATCAATCAGCCGGTACTTAACAGTGTTAGTACTTAACTTTAATTAATCCATGATCATGAGCAACCCTCCATGTACTGCTTGCGGTAGATAACTGTCACAACAGAAACATGTTGAACACCACTGATCACGGCTTCTCACTACAACTTGACCTCCGCATCTAGGGTTGCGCATCCGTACTGCTGATGAGTCAATTGATGAAGTTGTAAATTTTTGTCGACTAAGATGGTTGGGTCACGTGTTACTTATACCTGAACACCGATTACCATGACGCGCAATGCTAATTAGTGTTGAAGATGGTTGGAAGAAAGTTAGGGCGGCCAAACCAAAACGTGGTACCAGTCCATAAAGTCACTAAGTTCTGATCTTAATCATGTTCATAGATGCAGACTACTTGGTTGGGGTCCACATGACTATCGTAACCAATGGTTGGAGACTCTTGGTGACTTGGCTCAGAATCGATCACAATGGCGTCGGTGTATACACACTCTGTCTTCCCGTAAACCATGAGATTAAAATTACCTCTCTTTTTACTAACTAATTCTTTATTCCTGTACTATATCTTTATATGCAATCCTTTTTACAAATTACTACCATTAAAGTAACTGCTTCTATGAATTTGGTGTTCATCTTGTTGTGCCACCTACAGTTCAAGTGAAATGTTTGTCTGTCAAATAAACTATTACACTAAGAAGCAGTTTGCTCTTTATTGTTGAACAGCTATGAAATGTCGTCTATAGGATCAAAAGATATAAATAGGTTTCAATTATTTGGTCACAGGTAACTCCAAAGAATCGCTCTTATTTGATTAAATCAGTAATGGAGAAGTTAGACGTCGAGTACTACGTGAAGATAACATTGAATCCTTTTGAACTGTATTCTAATGTTTAACTCTCCTTTATTTCTCGTTGGTATACATTCATATCGGTTTCTATATCAACTACAACTGAGACGACCAAATGCGGTTACTCTGAAGTAGAACAATACTAACTAATAACATGGTTGTTTACCATTTATAATACAAGTGGGATGAAAAGACATAGCTGGACATTGTGTAACTAATTGTATAAATTTAATTTATCAATCAACTAGGTGAAATGTCCTGTAACTCATGTGTACAATCTTGTCAATAATCTCGGTACTGACTATTTCAAATCTAACACAAATTAGGTATTATTCTTAAAGTCAACCAGGGTTTTTTAGTACCCAAATTAGTTCTTCCAACAAAGGGTATAGAATATGACCTATTTATTTAATAAGACCATCAACTAAATAGTTTAAAAGTAATTGGCATAAAGAATATATACAGTGGAAAAGTCACTAAAATCATTAAGAATAAGACCGGCAATTTCACATTTATCGTACATAACCATGTACATCTCCACAATATGCAATACAAAATAACCAAATTTAAATAGAATGATTGTATGAACACGGATTCTAATGACGATCAATCAGCACAACACTAGTTATCTGTTGTCATGACAATTTCCAGTGATGCATAGCAAAACTAATCCAGTTTACTCTACTATCTACTTACATTTTAAAATTACAAAAAAGCGACAGTATCTCGGGCGATTGGCTAACAGCACTGTGTGGTTGATAATTTATGTAACAGAAATGTAAGAAAAATTTTAAAACGCAGACTACATATGACAAGAAAATCATAAAAAGTTAGACAATTGCAAAATATGTTTGTCGTACATGGATATCACGAACAAATTATGTGAAATATGAGACAGGTTTCAAAAATGAACACTGGAAATGATCTTAATAATTTGATATAATTGTTATAATAAACAAGATTTCCTCTGCAGAATCCAATCTCTTATTACTACTCTATCTACATATTATATTATCAAATATATAGTTGATAAAAATTAAGGAGGCAAAAAACGGTTAAACTTCTGCTACCGAGTTTACTTATTCCCAGACATGGTGGTGGTGGACTTGCATTTTATACGACTAGCAAAAATGAAACTAAACATTGGAGGTATTAATAAACAATACGACTGTGAATCGATGAAGGTAAGTACTTGCCAAGGTCAATACGATTATACACTATTGGGCCACATAAACATAGAAAGAGGGAGGGAGAATGAAAAAACGGCTACACCAACACACTACGAAAAAAGAAAAAAATGTTTATCATTCGCAATGAATAACCAATAGGTCATAAAAACAATAATCTTATAGTTCCCACTATTTTTCTTCACAGTAGAGATGAATCACGAAAAGTGACAGTAAGACCATACAATAATAGTAGTAATAATAATAACCAGACTTCGAGTGAAAGTCATACTACTAATGAGAATAGTTATGGATGAAAAAGTCTACTGTGTTACACAATTTAAAATCAATAAATGTATTCAGCAAAGAAAACCTATTCATTTTGTATTATTTGTTTGAATTTTCGTGCTGACGAGTCCCGAATCGGACGAAACGCGCGTCCTTTTACTGCTAGCCACCATTAATCTTTGATTATAAGGGCAACCTACACTGCGGTCAGATTCCAACCAACCATTTAAAAATGTAACACTCATTTAACCACACACAACTTCATGATTACGAAGTGAACCTACTGTATGTACGATAACCAGAGTATCTGGTTCTTGAGGCACGCTCTATAGCTAATTAATTGAAAGTTGTACTATATAAATCAATGATTCATAGTTGAAAAATCGTGAATTTAACTAATTAGTTGAAAATGACAAAATTGTTATAATCAGATTATTTTAGTCATTAAATACTAGGACAATGGTATTATGTGAGAGTAGTTAGAACTCTCGGTGAAAGCGATCACATAATAAAAGCAAATAAATGATTAAAAAATCTAGGTATCTAGTACAACGTATTTATTAGACAGAGTATAAATGAAGCATAGTGGGGTTTGAATAAATTAACTAAAAACACACAAAATTGTTATTCTGTCATAACATTCAACCAATTTTATAATGTGGGGTCAAAAAAATGATAATGAACGATAATACATCAAGTGAACTAAAACATTTTACAAGTATAGTTAATTAGCCCTTGCTACACTGAAACTACAAATACAATCAGGTTGGAAAAAGGCTGAATTTCAGAATTACAAAGCCAGATAAATGCTTTTTAATACTTCAAATTATTTCATTAAAATCTGTAAAAATAATAAATTTCTTTTCAAATCACTAGTCTGTACTTTCAGAAACAAGGGCGTGAGTTCCCGGGACGGTGTAACTAAATCATATATCATAGAGCAAAGGCCGCCGACCAGGGTTCTCCAACCATCTCTGTCCTGGATTCTCCTTTCCAGTTGTTATTCATCCTTTTGACGTCTGCCCTCTATGAATCCAACTCAGGATATTCAACTCTTGCGAAGAATGATTTACTATTAGACCACTGAGTTAGAAAGATTCTCAGTAATCAACGTAATTGTAACATAGTGGAATGGACAAATATTGGGCAACGTAAGACCATGGAAAACAATCAAATCTGATGTACTTTAATGCATGATAAAGATTAACAGATAGTTTGCATAAACAAAGCAGAAACGGAAATAAGAAAATGAAATCCAAAAATTAGATGGAAAAAAACACGTACGTTTTGAAAGAATCATTGCTATTTTAATTTTCTTTGATACTGGGACACCACTCGTTTTTTTCCTTACATATTAACACTATGTTTCTTAAACTCAGAGACAATTTAACACTAAAAATACCGATAATGAGAACGAGAATTTTTTCTATTAATTTCGTAAATAATAACTGAATATTTACAAGAAATGATTCTGTTAATGAAAAGAATACTTATATTAGTTGAAATCGAATTCCCTACCTTGTACACAACTAGAAGTAATGATTAAATGTAATAAGAATTGTATAGAAAAGCAAATTAACCACTCGAATAAGGATTTTAAAAAGGATCAGCATATTTAGACGATAATATGACACAAAATGAATTCCTACAATCAGTAGGATGTAAAAACAAAAAAGAATTTGTATCCAAGACAAATCAAAATTGAAATACCATTTTTAATTAATTTAACATGGACAAAACAAATGTTCTAAGAAAGAAAGAAAGAAAGATATTATTGAAGGTAAAGAAATGGAAGAAATGATAGAAACATATATTAACATAATTTTAGACAATCAAAAATGTCAAGATTGAAGATAATAAGAACTAATGATTTAAAAGTAAATGTTAAAAACATAGCAAAAATTTATGAAACGGGCAAACGACACAAATCGGATGTGAAGGTAGAAAATGCTTTTTTTAAGAAAAAACTAAACTACAAATATTATCTTGAATAATGGGAGGAAATATGAATATGAATGAATATAATCCATGATGCATATATGTGTCTGGTCCTACGTTGTAGCTGACTGACTGACTGAATCCATGATGTTATGTGATTTTTCTTTACAAGTGACAAGGCTTACAAAACCTTTTACACATTCCTCATCAGTGTGATACAGTTTCCAAGAACAACTTATACACTACTTACTTTTTATTTAGTTTTATATAAATTAAAATGTAGAGTAAAAAGTCAAGCAAAACAATACTTACTTCTAAGTACATAGTTGCATCATTTGTTAGTCGATCAGGAGGAGTCCAATCTTTCGGTGGTTTAGTTCCACTAGCATGATGGTCTGTATTAATCCATGTAACACGTGGCCAACCAGAAAATGATAATATCTCACCGTTAGGACCACGTTGTAAAGCTTTATAACACTGCTCACTAGCCAAAACTATACGTGCATCCTGACTACCTAATAAAAATCCCATACTTTGACACGAAGCATCCTTTAAAATAAAAAATAGGGAAAGTTCAGTGATTCAGTCTTGATATCCTTTTATTCAGTATATCAGTGAGTAAATTTAGGGTAATTGGTCGACTAGAAATGAGTAAATTCCTTTAGATGATTCACTTTATTTGTTCAAATGACAAAAACTTTTGATTTTTAAGAAATTAACTTACTAAACTTTTATAAAACTTAAAGGTAAACAAATAAATTCTATTGAGAACATGAACCGATTGATGTTAGACCACCACTAAAAACCTGGAAGCACTGGACGGCCGTTTCGTCCTACTGTGGGGCTCCTCAGCAGTGCGCATTCACGATCCCGCTCGCGGGTTCATGATATCAATCGAAAACTTAGCAATCTCCACAACACCTAACCTGATAAATAAATTCTAACAAACGAGATATCAAACAGCGAAAGGTTCTACATTGTATATGAAAGTACAATTGGATAGTAGATCAGATTTAACCTTTTTTCAAACATTAGTAAAAATGCAGATACAAAGTCTAAAATGAAATTTTTGAAAGCCTTAATTACAAATAAACATAGAGCACATATAATATGAGAGTATTTACTCGACGAGGAGATGGAACTTCGATTGCTATTGGAATCACACTGGCCAAAATACAGCCATAAAATGCACACAGAAAACTGATTGGTTCATTATTAGCGTACACCAATGCGACACGGTCTCCAGGTTTTAAGCTCTGCTCTCCACGATGACCCAATTTATTCAAAAGTGTGTAGGCTATCCGGATGGCACGCTACATAAAATACAATCAAGGTTATTTCATCAATATATATAATCGTTAAAAATAATAATACAAATAATTTAGGTCAATAATTAGTTAGCATTAAAATCTCTTAAATATCAGAAATATTTATTTTTATTTATTTCAACACATAGATATTGGTACAACGAGGCACCAAATACATATGCGCCACACAAATCTCATTCGATATGTGTGAGGGCTGTGATACTGCGCTGGTGCCCAGACCGAAGCAGATGGTTTTCTTAGGGGGCCACACCTGAAGCCTTCGACCCGAAGGTCTGGTCCACAAGGCAGTGGAGCATCGTAAGGAGATGCCGTCCCATGGAAGCCGGTGACCAACAATTGGTTCATACGCCATTTGTTCCCGCAGGATACTGGAGCCCATGTGCACCATTGGTTTGAAATCCGGTTAAAGCGCCGGACATTCGCTTTTCGTCCTCTCATTTTCGTAAACAACACCCCCGCCACGAGAAGGCAGTGAGTAGGACTTCCCTGGCAGACGCTATATACGCGTGGCCATGTGAGAGCATTTCGAGAGGGAGAGCGGACTCTCCCCACTCTCGGCCGTACCAGGGCATTTGGGGGCTAAATATGCATACAGTGGCAAATACATACCCTTTACAACTCTGATGGCTTAATGTATGAAACGATACAATGTTAAGAACATGGAGCGACATGAAGAATTAGAATACTTGAGCATAGAACATTAATAATAATCTGTAACAACTAAGCTTTAGCTATTAGATACAGACAACTCAGGGAGACCTTAATCAGGACATTTGCACCTCTCTACATGGCTGTTCATAACTCTAGTATATTTCTTGACTGAAAGCATTAAGTTAAGAGTTCTACATACTGTCCTATAACGTGAAGACATACTGATTAAATATGTTAGAAGGTCAATTTATTTTACTAACCAACCCTCAAATGTTTTTTTTAAAAGTTAAACGGTTGATAAATCACTGCATATAATCTGTTCATCTAATATAGGTCGTGTAAGTTGATGTGACATTCAAGGGTCCTCTTAAACAATGTTAACTCCAATTAAGCTGGTAAATATACACAATAGAAGGGAACCATCTGATGGCAATTCAAAAATATCATAAGAAAAGTTTATTTTAAAAAAATATTCTTAATCAGTTGAATTAAATACAGGATTTAAGCACACGTTCATGTTATAACCTTTCAACAATGTACACAATGTGATGGCTAAAGATACTCATTTACTGAACAGAAACGATACATCCCTAAAACGCGTAAATTATCGACCGCTGAACAAAAGTTCAATATAATACTAATAATAATATTATTCGATAACATGAAATCTTAATACAAATACTTAATTTCGAAGAAAAACTTAGAACATACTTGCAGCAATTTCGCGTAAGTTAGCACCTGAGTTGGCCTGCCAGATACGTCTAAACAAGTTAAGGCAGGTGTTTTACAACTCAAGCTAGCGTAACGCTGAAGCGCAGATTCTAGATTTCTTGGCAAACCAGAAGGTATCTACAATAAAAACAAATTACGATCAAAACGTTAGACAGTTCATATATAAACATCGGTGGCATACAATATAGCGATTATAAGATGATAAACCTGTTAAAATAGAAAACTTACAACTAGCTCTTCTCCTATAAGTGGCTCAGAAGGAAGACCTCTGGGACGTGGTGCCGTAGGATCAACAACAGGTCTTACAAGTACTTGATCTTCATCATCAAGAAAATATTCGGGTAATGGATATCGTTTGGGACGTTTCAAAGTGTTGACTAATTTTTGAATTTTTTCTGATACACGATTATGACATACAAAGCCTGTCGTTTGACCGGTATCAGAAGAAGGATCTTGTCCAACTGACTCTCCTGTTACTGGTGATGAGAACTTCCTACCATTACTATTATCAAGATCAGCAGATGACGAAGATGCTAGTGAAACTGGCTGATTTGACTGAGAATACTGTTCTTGTTGACCTTGTAAGTCATACGCTGATGACGAAGGAACGAATTCATGATTTGTATGTCCTGAATTACCATTTGATATGACACCACTAGCAAAACTAGGGAGCACACTAACACTGCCAAATATATGAGATCGCTGACCATTCTGAGCCATGGATATTGGACATGAATTGATTCCAGACTGGGGTTGATAAGCTGAATTAGAAAATAAACATATAAATTGACAATATTACGGCATAATTAAGTTAAAAATGTTTACAAACCAATAAACAAAAATTGGAAAATCGAGATGCAGACTAAATCACACGAGTAATTTTTTGATTCAGTTACTTACCACTGAAATATATACTAAATTAACCAATACTTAAGATACGAGCCTCAGTGAACAGATCAACTATGAGATCGAATATAAATAGGTGGAAATATACATTTATAACTAAAACATTGAAATATCCACCTTGGAGTTGATCTATGATTTGTTTAGTTTGGTAAGTTTGGGTGTTTTCCGTAAGAATCGATCGTGTACTGAATAAATCGCAACACTACGGATAATTGTGGAACAACCAATTGAATGGAATTTATCACTCTACATCAACTTAATTGACTGCCCCCAAATGTCCTGGTACGGCCGAAAGTGGGGAGAGTCTGCTCTCCCTCTCCAAATGCTCTCACATGGCCACGCGTATATAGCGTCTGCCAGAGAAGTCCTACTCACTGCCTTCTCGTGACGGAGTGTTGTTTACGGAATCGAGAGGACGAAAAGCGAATGTCCGGCACTTTAACCGGATCGGTTGGCACGGAGATTCCACCCAGGGGAGTTGTAAAACCCTGATTCTAAACCAATGGTGCACATGGGCTCCAGATTTCTGAAGGAACAAATGGCGTATGAACCAATCGTTGGTCACTGGCTACCATGGGTCTGCATCTCCTTACGATGCTCCACTGCCTTGTGGACCAGACCTTCAGGTCGAAGGCTCCAGGTGTGGCCCCCCAATAAAACCACCTGCATCGGTTTGGGCACCCGGGCAGTGTCACAGCCCACACACAAACCACGTGACTTGTGTAGCGCATCTGTATTCGGTACCCCTTTGTACCAATATTTGTGTATTCAAATATATAATAAGATTAGGTATAGAAAGTACGATTCAGGAAAACCAAATATAAACTAGTGAAATCAAAACAAAAAAGGTTTTGAGGAATTCAGAATAAGGGGGGAGACAGAGAATGGATGCACCTGTGCCATTGCAAGCGATTTTTAGCCATGTCATTCAAAGTCTCTAACCATTAGTTAGCATCCTATAAAATTCATCTTTAGCTTCAACCAAGCTGTAATCGGTGGAAGCGTAGGCAGAGACAACGGAAACGCAACGGCGTGTATCCCTATCTTACTTTCCCACTTAGTCAGACGGCGCACAAGCAACTGTCTATTGGAATCCAGTCTAACCAGCCCTCTCCTGCTTTTAAACTTAATGCTATACCTAAACCAGAGGGGCCAGGGGAAGTAGCAGTGCGGTCTCTAGACACTCAAAGGGTAAATTGTGCCGATCCTTTATATTGACAAAGTGAGATCAAATGAATGCCCGCACTTGGACCATGTATGCGTGCGCAGCACACATCGATGGAGAGAGTCTACAGTTCTAGCTAACGAAACCTGCTATCTGATACAAGGTTCTAACATTAAAAGCTCCAACATGTAGTTTGGAGCGCGGTTGAATTAATACATGAAATCTTAAACCACTAGTCCGAGACATAATGATGCATACAGACCTCCTAGTTTGGTGCTGTATAGGAGTACCAACATATGAGTATACACGGGTAGTTTAGCAAAAGATGTTATTCGTGGCTTTTCATTCTTCTATTTTATTTATTCCTTTATAATTGTATTATTTGGTGTCAAGATTTCCATAAGAGTTGATATTTCTTCCCATTCTTATGAAATTCAATTTAAGAATTACATCTGTTACTCTGATGGATTTGAGGTGTGACAACTTGAACTGATGCACACCCATACATGTACTTATTCTGATTATAAATAACTGACTACATAGCTTTAAATAACCGCGCAAATTTACGCGGGTAACTAGTGTACTTTTGAATCAGTATCATCCTTATATGTATTTCTCCGGGTAATGAATAAATGTAAAAACTTTATTCTATAAAAACACATAGATGATGAGATAACGATAAAATACGTGTGGGCTATGAATCCACTAAATGAATGAAATTTACCTGTAGAAATCACTTGAGATTGATGAAAAACAGTATTAACTGGTGGATCAGAATAATCGTACATCCCTAAATTATTAGAATTTAACTGAGCTTCAGCAAGAGCAGCTAACTGTTCAAACGAATCAGCGGTACTCAATGCTCCATCTAAATTACCATTTTGTTGATTAGAAGGCTGGTTTGTGTAAGTCCATGGATTATTTACATCTGATTGATTTATTCTATTTGAAGATCGAATCGGTGGTTGACCTGAATAAAACATTTTTAAAAATTTACAACTGATTAATACGTGAATCATGAAATAATATTACAAAAGTATATCGAAGACTGTCATAAATAATGATAACACCAGCAGCAAGAATAATGATATTAGACTAAATCGACGAACAAACACGAGACTGATCACGAAGAAAAGAAATTAATGTGGTAAATTCAATTGACGATAAGTCAAAAAGCTGTCAATCATGCAGACTATACATTTTCCAATGCATATCTCCATCAACTTGCTTGATGAATACTTTGAAACTGTAATCTAAAAGCTAAGGTTTTATGAAAACTGTCTCAAAACATACACCTACATACATTCACCCTGTCGGGTGCTTTCCCGTTTCCCATGGTGATCTAACTAACATGATTACGCGATTTAAATTATGAAAATCCTACAACCTTCAGAAATCCCTATATACTGAAAATAAATGTTGTTAATTAATAATATATATGTAAAAAAGTAGGATAAACTATTGTACGTTGGCAAACAGCACTATGCGACTGCTTGGTAACCGTAAAGGGTTGAAATTTTAAGTAATAAAGTTTTAATCCACTGAATACAAGTTTATGTACTCGACCTTAAGCCACACTGTTTGAAAAGTATGGTACTACCCTCCGCCCAAATTGGAGTAGGAGAAAATGGATCTAAATCTAAAACCTCTTGGTTGAAACGCGAGTTGTTTCAACCACTAACACATAAACAATAGCTTAACTCGACCGACCAGATTTTTATCACTGCAATGAACACAAAGTAATCGAATTTTAACTACGAATCATAAAAAGTCAATTAGTGGTAAAGTAGAACCTAGTACATATGCACATCCATTCAAGTTGTCATACCCCAGTAGCACAGAGAGATGTTGTCAGGTCAAATCCCAGAATAGTAGAGATAGTAACAGTATTAGTGGTACTAGGAAGGGTTAGGTATAGAAGATACGATTCAAGAAAACGAAATATAAACTAGTGAAATCAAAACAAAAGATTTGGGGAATCCAGAATCACAGAATTTGGGGGAACACAGAGAATAGATGCATTTGCGTCATTGCAAACGATTTTGGTCCAAGTCATTCAAAGTCTCCAATCTTTGATTATAATAACTATACGAACCCCAACCAGGTACCCTGTTCCTAACCCAGGCATTGTTTACTCAGTGGTCCCAAAACACACAGAGAATCCTTCGGAGACACCTATGATCGGATACTAGAAACCTAGGAGTATCCTCTATTATTAATGGCTATGTTTCACACCCTTATATTATTACGGAACAAGACTCATAAAGAGGGATTATCAAGAAAAAATAATTACAGGATCGAATTTCATCCAAAGAAGGCACTTCATCATATCGATTAGCAGGAGATTGTTGTTTGCGTATCTGACCAGTAATAGCAGTAGTTGATGTTCTGAGTTGATTCCTGTCGGAAACACCATTGGTCGGTACACTTGAACTTGGAATCTGTTAATATAATACATGTTTGAAATCACGACAAAAACTCGTCGTTAAAAAACCACGATAATGGAAGATGAAGTGAATTTATTTTATAAACATTTGCTACAGCTACTGTTGATTAAAATGACTAGGAAAGATATAACTATTTCTGAAATAATCAGTTGCTTCGACTTTCAGGATAGTAGTTATCATGGACTAACACGGGCTGAAAAGCCATTAAAAATTAAGACTTGAAATCTTTCCAAGGTTCAGTGTTGTAATTCGATTCCGAATTAAGTTGAGCAATATCATATCTAGCGGTGACCAACTTCCAATTCCAATGTGGCCAGGTAAACATTTGCGCACGCGGTTTGAGGCCAAACTTTTGTTCCACAACAAGTGACATTACTTGGATGACCAAATCTGGAGTGGAGTGAAGCTTGAATGTATGGTCCAATAGTTATTTGTTGATTATTTATTTAAACACATAAACATTGGTACAAGGTGGAACTAAACTGATATACGCCATATGAATCATTCGCCTTATTTGAGGGCTGGGGTACTGCCCGGGTGCCCAGACCGATGCAGGTGGTTTTATTAGGGGGACCACGCCCCAAGCCATTGGCCTAACGGTGTGATCCACAAGGCAGTAAAGCAACGTCAGAAGATGGTAACCGGTGACCAACAATTGGTTCATACACCATTTGTTTCCTCAGGATTCCGGAGCCCATTCACACCATTGGTGTAGTGTAATTTTACAAGGCATAACATGTTTGAGTTCAAATCAATAGTTGCAAACTGAGTGTTCTAATCATTTGAGGAGACCAACGTATCGTTGAATATAAATACTGAAAAATCTCGGATAAAATTAATCACTGTCCATCAAGAGCTTAATCCAATTTCTCTCGGAAAGCAGATCACTGATTCTGCTAAAATAAATTCCCACTGTTTAATAATCTAAAAATAGTGTATTCGTCTTCTATGGACAAGATTTCTCCAGAGCTAATGGTGTTATGATTTTTGCAACTGGGATAACACAGCTCCCTTTTCCAGCAAAAGTTGTAATTTATGAATTTAATAGATCATATCACTGAACGGATCTTGAACAAATATCTAGTGTCATTTCACAACTCCACCAACGATCGGAACCAGGACCTTCAGGTCTCGCAGCAAGCGCGCATTCTTTACACCACTGAACCGGCATCTAGTGATCTAGATGTTTAATTTCAATCAGTGAAACATTTAGTGCTCAAGGTAAGTCATTAACAAACTGAACTAATGTGTACTATTCTATGCACAACTCTAATACAAAATGCAGATAATAGACATAGGCCTTTAAAAACAAATAAGGACGATGTCAGCCCAAACACATGATAGTACGCATACAACTGATGTAAACTGTATTAATTAAACATGATGGAAACATGAAACGTCCTTGGAACTGTGGTAAAACTTTATCCAAAGAAATGCTAAATAGCGTTTTATATATTCTCTGGTCCATGGTTTAAAAAATTGGGTCAGATAAGGTCGTACATGACAAAAATAAATATATAGTAAAGTATAACACACACCAACAAACGGTGATATGTACACACACACACACGTGAATTATGCCTATATGACAAATTACTAAAATAATATATAATGTAAACAAACCTAAAAAAGACGACCACTGAAACAAACGAATATGAAACAATCAAAACGAAACGTTCTATACAAAACAGGCAAATCGTACAGCCACATATATACCTTAAACAATCATTTGGGTGTTTTTACAATCCTGAAGGGATTGGTGCTCCTAGTGGGATTTAAATCCAGGTCACACAGCTCCACAGTTTGGGATATTATCAGTGAACTATTTGAGCTACAGTCAGTTAGCTACAACGTAGGACTAGGCACATATATGCATCGATCCAAGTTGCTATACCCCATTAACACAACGGGATGGCAACGGATTTATAAAAGTAGTTAATTCAGAGGTGGTAATATATAAAAGAAAGATTGCAACAAGGATATAGTACAGGAAAGAAGAATTAGTTCGTAGAAAGAAATATATGAAGCGATTTTAATCTCTTAGTTTAAGGGAAGACAGAGAGTGTATACACCGACGCCATTGTGATCGATTCTGAGCCAAGTCACCAAGAGTCTCCAACTATTGGTTACGATAGTCACGCGGACCCCAACCAAGTAGTCTGCATCTACGAACATGATTAAGATCAGAACTTAGTGACTTTATGGACTGGTACCACGTTTTGGTGTGGCCGCCCTAACTTTCTTCCAACCATCTCCAGCACCGATTAGCATTGTATGTCGTGGTAATCGGTGTTCAGGCATACGTAACACTTGGCCCAACCATCTTAGTCGATGAAGATTCACAACCTCATCAACTGATTTACCATCATTCCCTAATACCCTGCGTCTAACCTCAATATTAATTATCCAGTGATCCCAGCAGACGCCAGCAATATTTCTAAAGCATCTGTGGTCAAATACTAGTAGCTTACGAGTGCCTTCTACTCCTAATGGCCATGTTTCGCTGCCGTAAATTAAGACAGAACGGACTTCCGCGCAGTATACTCGTCCTTTTATTGATAGACGGATATCTCGCCTTCGCCATAGGTGACGTAAGTTGGCAAAAGTCAAGCGAGCCTTTCGAATCCGTGCTGAGATTTCGTCAGACACTACAACTAGCCTTTTGTAGGAATGAGACTTTTGCAGCTGACTGAAAAATGATTAATGACCACCTAACAACTTAACATGTAGTGCCCAGTCAGTTAAACTAGTCATCACATTGCAACTTATTCGATAGAATTCAAGCAGTAGTCCAGTGTAAACACCAACAGTGTGATGGAGTTTCATTCAGATGATAACTACTAAAAAGAGTGAAAAATGGGTCTTGGATTCAACTGCTAGCCATGATTCATTTATTTTGTAAAAAAGATTTTTTCGTTTTTAACTTGTTAGCAGTGGTGAAAACTTAATTTCGTTGAGAATTGACCAAAAGACTACCATAAATCCAAGTAAATATTAAAGACACGAAGTTCAGCGGAGGGATCTCTTTTCAACGGATTTACTACCAAGCTGTACAATTGTATATATATGGGAATTATCTGTCAAGTAAATATGTTAACTATTAAATAACCACTAGGCAGGAATCCCGTGAGTTTTTTGGAAAGACTCATAAACATCATCAAACTTACTTCACCTAATCCCGATGACTGATTAAAATTGTTCCCTAAACGCGTAATGTGTGCAGATGTTGACGACAAATCTTCATCCGAATCATCAGAATCTAATAAAAATGGGAGAAACAGTCCTTTAAGCAGATATTAATAATGAGATCATAACACCACCAGCCCATCATCATATGTATAGTATGAAAATGAAATTACAACAGTGATACTAAGTAATTTAGTAAATTAAACTATCATCCGAACACCACTATGAAATCACTTAGACGGTAAATAGTTAACCGTTTAGCATTCGTCTAAATCGTGTGGCCAACTCGATATTCCCTTGAATATCGAAATAGGTTGGGAAGATAACGAAAGGAGGTTGTCAAATGACACAAAGTAATAAATAACATACAATTTAAATAAAGAAGTCTGTTTAGCAGATGGGTCGTGTAGTTGAAATAACATCACTCTAGAACAGAAAATTTGGGCTTGATTAAAAAATAAGATATGTTTATCAGATTTAAAGCCAGGCTGCACTAGATTACAGTCAACACGATACAGAAAGTAGATTAATGCCATTTACTGAACTTCATCATATTAAAGCAACAGCGAATAAATCGTTATCATGCCTATATTTAAATCTAAGAAAAAATCAAGCATGTAAATCAATTAGTGTTTCTGAAATAGAATTAAGTGGTCACCTAATAATTACTAGCTAATAAAGGTAAGGGATATCAATCATGTTTAATATTTTTAGTTAAAGAACATACAATTTTCTTTCTACTCTGTTGCCATTTGTTTGACGATTTACTCAGTAGAAAGACTTTTCATATTACAATTCATTAACATCTTTACATGCTACCAACACTTTCGTCAATAGGAGTTAGTTTTTTATTCACATGTACGAGTTGAAAGTCAAATAATGATGTCTGGGAATAAAATACATTGCTTGTACTTTATAGGATTTTTTAATCAAAAAATCCATAACAATATCATAAACTATAGACAACTGATAAGTGAATATGCATAAAACATAGACACGCATATAAAGTAAGACAGGGAAAGTGACTTGAATTCGGCAAAATATATGTAAGTTGAAGTGTATAAATGAAATATAATACGTTCAATTGTTTGTTATCTATGTACACAAACACGTACAATCACATAAATATGCACAATACCGTATGACTCACATCTAAACAAACTTTACCGTTGTGTTAATGTTACATAAAAGGAAATGACATTGAAAACTACTTAAAAAGAAACAGATCTAAAACGTTTTAGAGAAATTATCCTTCAGTGTTAGTATTAAGCAGTAACGATAAGTTTGGTTACATAAAAACAATCACAATTAAAACATATTAAAAGCGAATTGCGAAAGGCGTATTATTTCCAATGAAATGGATTTGTCTGAGACATAAATTTTGAGTTTGTTTATCACCATTCTACTCACGCTGCCATAATCGTTTTATATCCAAACCATTATAAGTAATAAGTCGGGTTTATTCGATTTCATAATCTTTTGGTATACGTCATCTGAGAACAAGTTCGTGTCCGGCTTGCGTTACACTTAAGGTTTGAGGGTTAGTGATGCTACTCAGCTACTCAAACAGGAGTAAGTGGAACATGTTTCAAAATTGCGACTCAGTGGTTGAAAGCCAAAATATTTCAACTACTAAATGCATTCTACAAATACCACGAAACTAGCAGCCGTAAATTCGTTGGTATTGGAAAGTTAATTTTATTGAGTGATCTACTCCAGACGTAAATTAATTAAAATACATATATAAATTAACAATTTTGCGACGCTTTAGCAGTACGTACGAGTGACTTCATTCATGATTGAACTAAAGTCCAAATGTGCTAATCTCGGAATTTTTAGACCACAACTCTGTTGACCGGCAAAATCGTGCAATTAAAGATTGTTATTGGTTCTGAGAACATACCGAAAATATACTACAGCTATGTGAGGCACATTATAAGAAAATAAACCTAGTGATCAAAGATTTAAAAGGACATGTTTGCTAGGAATCCAACGAGTTTTCTCATTCTTTACATCTTATTATCTATGTAGTTAGAGTACAAACCAAGAATTTAGGCGATGACATACATGTTGCATCACGTTCAGGAGTTTGATGTATACAGGACAAACGACTCGGGTCACGACGTTTACTAGGTGCCAAGGCATCATGACGTTCCTGCCGAGCTTGTACTAGAGCCTCCTTCACTGCCTCCTCTCGGATATCTAAGAAGATTAAAAGTGAAAATCGCATTCATAAAAAAAGCAATTAGCGATATAAAGTTCAAATATTTCGAATATATATGTGAAAATACACTACTATTACATAAGTCAATCTAGTATTCGTAATACATTTAACTAACTGCCCATTTAAATGAAACAATCAGATAGACTGATTGCATTTTTAAAGTTAAGTGTTGATTGGCATTTCACTTATGATTTCCAAGGTGTCAGTTTGGTGACTATTCTGTTGAGCTTAGTTTGTAGTGTTTATTTACCAGTTAACGGATTCAGCATTCAATCAATAGATCGTACGTAGATCGTTGTACTTTGCTTTACTCAGCCAAATAATGTTAATAAGCCTCCTTGAAAATCTATTTCTGACGATTTCCATTTTTGCATTACCGTAAAAAGTACGATATCATATATGTCAGAGACATGCTCAAGAAAGTTTGGTCTTCAAGACAACTTTGGGTTTTTTCTACAATATATTTTACAACATATCAGACAAAGGTCTCTAAAATTCATAGAATTGAGTAACATGGTATTTTGAAGTAGCTGAAACAATCTTTTGTGTTTTGGATACCAGGAAGTAATTTTAAAACACTAATGTATAAGCTTCTAAGATACTACGGCACTGTTTACAAGACGGACTTCCTGTACAGCAAATAAAGAGCCAGTGTACTTAGAATGGAAAGCTTACCCGATCGATATCGATGATTTTCACGAATGTATCTGCGATTCTGAGCATTAATAGGAGAATTATTTTGAGGCTCATTTCTGAAAGACTCTGTAACATTATCACCACAACCAACAGCCTGGCCACGTGGGCCTAAATGATGCGTTTCATTAAGTCCAGGAAGTAAAACTCCACCATAAGGAATATGTGAGTGATTAGATGAATTAGTTGAGTTGACTGAGTAAACATAGAAAAAGATAAATAAATCTTTTAAAATATTACAACTAATGATCAATTTTGCGATCGCTTGACGCATCGAAATGAACAGAAAACATAATTTCTTCTCGTAAATGACACCACAGCGTGATAGCATACAAATAAATCCATTGTGTAAGACGTTATTCAATAGTTATTACTCAAAACTTAACTCTATGTGGGTAAATTGAAATGCAAGTTTGAATATCATACATCATCATTACTAAGCATTTAACACAAAAAATTTACATCGCACATTATGCTACAATTTCGTCACTCTTCCGATAGATGATAAAGAGATTATTGTGGGAAATACGGCATCGACTTGAAGTTTAATTTAGTATATCAGTGTAAAACCGGAAATGATAATCTTATGAGCGATGATTGACCTATCAAGTCTCCAATCCTCCGGATGAAATCTAAAATCAACAGTTCAGATGAACTTCACTGATTAAAGCTCCCTTCTAGAACGCTAAGAATCATTTCCGAAACTAACCAACAATTAAGATATGCTATGTTTTTATACATATTCATGATGCAGTAGCTGTCATAGTTTAAGCCTACAGAAACAGGTTTGTAGTGTTAAAATAACATAGCTAGTTCAAATGTGAGTATATTAGATGAGTTCGAGTTTTTACAGATAATGTACGTTAGTACTGCTATGAAATATTAGGAAGGATTTTTTCTTTAAGACTACTTCATGTCAGCCCACATCACAACTATTGTTGCCGCATTAATGATATTATTGATATGCCATGACCACCTTATTACAGGTAGAAAAACAACCATGAGACATATATGTTGTGATCTACTTGGATAATAACTAAGAAAGAATGTAATTCAAAATATATAACTCACTCGGAGCGTTGATAAATGGAGCTAGAAGCTTCTGCTTCTTTTTCTGGTATCCTTTTTCTGTTATATCACCTGAAATTTATTACAATGAATTGGATAGCGTTAAGCTTACAAAGTCTGACAAGTTTATAGCTTAGTAAAACATTACGTCACCTTTGTCAACTGAAACTAGTATAAAATGTAACACAGGATGTTGTCTACTAGGTTTAAATAAGAGTAAATCGCCATGAACATCAAAAATAGAAGGAATAATCAGGAGTTAATTATCTACAACACAAGTAAATGCTGATGAAACGGGGCACTGAACAAATGTTCAACACTAAACCATCATACCATAATAGAAGATGAATGAGCCATAAAATCCGTAAGCAAATGGACACGAATAGGATGTGGTAAATGATATTTTTCAATAAAAGAGAAGCACAACTGATATTATTCCAGTTAAGCAGGTTTATTGTAATCGGGAAATCTCAACAAAATCGTCAGTGGGTTTTATTCGAAGCCATGTATGATAATCGCTTAGTTTATTAATCTCTAAATCCCTCACTAAGGATGGGAAAACAGATCCAAGTTCTGTACAGCTATTTTTACGCCGCAACGCAACGTAATAGATTGAACAGCTACCTACTTTTTACACCCGGTCAACGAATAAACTAAGGAAACTACTGGAATAACATTTTTAGACTATTCGCGTCATTAGAGGCAGGTTAAATAACAAAATGATGAAAGAGTTATCGATACAACAACCAAAAGCACACTGACGGTCTTCATTATTACCTATAAAGTGTTGCTATTAGGCGTGAGTAATCCATCAAAGACAGCAATGATCAAAAAGTTAATGAATTTGTTTCCACCGAGAAAAGTTTCTTCAGCACGCAGAACAAATGCGAGCAACTTGATGCTACCAAGTATTAACTCGAGAATTTTTCACTGTTATGTACATAACCAGAACACACTTGTTGAACTGAATAATCTTTACGTTTCATGTTACTAACATTATAACTGATGAATAAGTCGATTACTGAAGAGACCTTTTCAGCATTCTAGAAACTTTGATTTTAATATCTGTTTTACTTATGTGCAGTATGTTTGATTAACATACAGACATTCGCTGATACAACGGAGATCTTGGATTTTGGCGCAAAATTCATCCATTCATATGGCTGAATAACATTTTGGCACTATAGCTGTCAGTTCGTGATGAGAAAATATTATCATCGGGTGAACTTTAAAATAATCATGAATCGCGATAACAAGTCGCACAAACGATCAGCAGAGTAGGTAAGACACAACGTTTTACATGCCTATTAAGCCCAATCCGATGAACCGAAGGATAAGCTCTATACAATAGCGTTATCGATTACAGCTAAAATATCGGCTTAGTGGTACACTACTCAAAATGGTCCACTGGAAGTAAACTGTAAGTGGTGAGATACAAGTGGTTAATTTTGAAAACAAAGGATGTAAGGTGCATTCTCCGAAATACAATTAACGAAAACTGGCAGCTCAATTACAGAATCGACACTTAAATCAATATAGATCTGTCTCGAAACCTATTTACAAGAACTCAGTAGTCTGTCGCGTGCAAAACTAGGATCATCTTGATTTTTCGCAAATTTGTCATATAACTTCGTCTATAATGACTTTATTTTTCCTCATACAGTTGAGGCATTGCAGTACATACTCAACCGATAACGATACAATGAAAGACTTTGTGTGATAAACTTACCTTCAGAAAGTTCAACTTCGAGCTCTGCTAGTTTGGTTTTGATCTCTAATGGCAATCTGGAATCTTCTGAACTTTCCATTAGGAGAAAATGTTATGGAGAACGACCTTCATCTTCAAAGGTCAAAAAATCAAAGCACGCTGGTAATCCACCGGTTCAACGTCAACTTCGAATGGTTCAAATGGTTGTGGATGGAATAAGAGAAGCTTTCGCTTAACGGGTTTCCATGTCTAGTACTTAGAACCTGGATATATTGACGATAATAGAGGAAAAATGAAAATAGTAAATCATAGTAAGCTATTATCTTTAATGCCCCCAAATGCCCTGGTATGGCCGAGAGCGGGGTGGATTCTCCCTCCCTCTCGAAATACTCTCACACGGCCACGCGTATACAGCCTCTGCCAGGGAAGTTCTACTCATTGCCTTCTCGTGACGGGGGTGTTGTTTACGAAAATGAGAGGACGAAAAGCGAATGTCCGGCGCTTTAACAGGATTCCAAATCAATGGTGCACATGGGCTCCAGTATCCTAAAGGAACAAATGACGTATGAACCAACCGTTGGTCATCGGCTACCATGGGACTGCATCTCCTTACGATGCTCCATTGCCTTGTGGGTTAGACCGTTAGGTCAAAGGCTCGGGGTGTGGCCTCCTAAGATAACCACCTGCTTCGGTTTGGGCTCTCGGGCAATATCACAGCCCACACACAAATAATGAACTGAACTGTCTATGATCATGGAAACTAATTCTCTTGCTTCGACAAACATTCAAATGATTCAAATATTATTGCTATTATTATTGCTACTATTATTATTATTATTTTTATTATTATTATTATTATTATTATTATTATTATTATTATTTACTACACCATTATTCACCCTCTTTTATTCCCATTCTGTCTATACTTACTTTTTTCGACTTATACAGCATCTCGTCTATGGTGAAAATTCGACTCTATCTAAACGTTCTCGAATCACTGTTCGGTTGAAAATTGTATGTTACCACCGAATACGAGAACTGAAGCAGTTTTTCTGAAACCACGTGCACCATTCAAACTGGCTGACTTCAACGTTCGCACACTAATGCAGGTCGGACAATAGATAGGGCTGGCTACGTCTTTGGAAAGTCTCAATATTGATGTTTGTTGTCTATCCGAGACTCGTATTCAAGACTCTGGCGAAGTACTACAAATTCGCTCTCCATCTGTCGCTTCAAAAAGCTTGTTTTACGTGCGCTTATCCGGAGATCTTGTAGCATCTTCGTCTGGTCTTGCTGGCGTTGGTGTCGCACTAAGCGCTAGAGCTGAGGCAGCACTAATCGGCTGGATCCCCGTTAACAGTCGGTTATGTGCTGTTAGATTAGGATGATCTATCAAAGTGAGAAGAAATCGGTGTGAGAAACAATGTCTTTTCGTCATCTCCACCTATGCTCCGACAGATTGCAGCCCGGATGCAATCAAGGATGAGTTTTACCACCAGTTATCTCTTCTTCTCCAGAAAGTGCGTTCGACAGATATTGTAGTACTAGCCGGAGACTTGAATGCTCAGGTCGGGCGTCTAGGCACAGAAGAGAATCGTTTAGGTGGCCGATGGGGACTCGTTGGTCGCAGGTCAGATAACGGGGACCGTCTACTGCAACTATGCACAGACCACAACCTGTTTCTGGCTAGCACTAACTTTCGGCACAGTCATCGCCGATGTGCCACCTGGCGTCCTCCCTCAGCATCCCAAGCCTGGACTCAGATTGATCACATCGCAACCAGCTACCGTTGGCGTGGTTGTGTAAAAGACTGCCGCTCCTTTTGGAGTACCTATCTGGACTCTGACCATGCCTTGGTCTGCACCAATCTTACATTACTTTTCAGTGGCCAACGAAGTGACCACCACCAACAGATTGATGTTAACAAGCTGGTTGCAGCTTCTGTTGCAAATAAGTATCAAATCGAGCTGGCTTCTAGCCTAGCTACCATTCCACCGAAAAGTATAGATGAGCATTGGTCGCAATTGCATGACGCCATGAAAATGGCGGGAACAGTCAGTTGTGGGTTCGCAAAACGTCCCGCTTATAAGCACTGGGTTTCTTCAGGCTCCTTACAACTCATTGAAGCCCATCGGTCTACTCCGGGTGACCGTGAGTTTGACCACAAACGAAGGTTTTTATGTAGCGAAATTGGGCAAAGCTTGCGTAAGGACCGAGAAGCCTGGTGGTCGGAGCGTGCTAATGAGCTGGAAGCAGCAGCTGCATCTGGTAACTACCGGAACCTCTTCCAGCTCATCCGAGCCACTGGCAGCAAGAAGTCTGGTGTGAGTGAAACAATCTGCGAGGATGATGGGATGCCAATCACTAACATCCATCGACGTCTTGGACGATGGGCAGAATTTTTCGAAGGGCAGTTCAACTGGCCTGCTGCTCCGGCAACATCGGTCAGACTGTCCTGCCCTCCATGGCCGGTGACGACTGATCCACCAAACGAGGAGGAAGTCCGCAAGGAACTCCAAATCTTGAAGCGTTACAAATCTTTAGGCCCAGATGACTTACCTCCGGCTCTTTTTAAAGATGGTGGTGACTTTTTGACTAAGGAATTGACGACGTTGTTTACAAAGGTTTGGGAATTAGAGAGTGTACCAACGTCATGGAATGAGTCGATAGTTGTCCCTATCTTTAAAAAGGGTTCACCTCGTTCCTGCAACAACTATCGTGGGATAAGTCTACTTCCGATTGCGTCCAAGCTATTGGCTTCCGTCATACTTCGTAGGTTGTTCAAAACCCGAGAAAGATTGACCCGCGAGGAGCAGGCTGGGTTTCGTTCTGGTCGAGGACGTATTGATCATATCTTCACCCTCCGCCAAATGTTAGAACACCGCCATACTTATCAAAGGCCAACAATCGTAGTGTTTCTTGACATCAGGGCTGCCTTCGATTCGTTCGACAGGACTGTTCTCTGGGATTGTCTATTGAAGAAGGATGTGCCTGAGAAGTTTATTAACATCCTAAAAGCCCTATATACAAACATCTCGCGTAGAGTGAGGGCATACAACCACCTCTCTCCATTGTTCCATTCAAGCAGTGGGTTTAGACAGGGTTTCCCGATCTCACCATTCCTCTTCAACTTTGCCATCGATGACATTCTGGAAACAGCTCTGATGAATGTAAGTAATGGTGGTGTGGATCTGTTGCCTGGAGAAAGACTTCTCGACCTTGAGTATGCGGATGATATTGTCTTACTGTGCGATAATGCCCAAGGCATGCAATCCGCACTTAATCAGTTGGCAATCAGTGTCCGTAGGTATAGTATGTGCTTTGCACCTCCGAAGTGCAAAGTACTTCTACAAGACTGGCAGGATTCTAATCCTGTACTCACTCTGCATGGTGAGCAGATAGACGTATTCGAGAAGTTCGTGTATCTGGGTAGCTGCATAAGTGCCGGTGGGGGTGTGAGTGATGAGATCAATGCACGTATAGTGAAAGCCAGAGCGGCTTATGCCAATCTGGGCCACCTTTGGCGCCTTCGTGATGTTAGTCTGGCTGTAAAAGGTCGGATCTACAACGCGTCGGTGAGAGCAGTTTTGCTCTATGCTTGTGAAACCTGGCCTCACCGAGTTGAGGACGTTAGACAACTCTCTGTGTTCGATCATCGCTGTCTCCGAAGGATTGCAGACATCCAGTGGCAACACCATGTAAGTAATGCAGAGGTTCGGCATCGTGTGTTTGGGCACAGAGATGATAATTCAATTGGTGTCACCATCTTGAAACACCGACTTCGGTGGCTTGGACATGTTCTACGAATGTCGTCCCAGAGAATTCCACGTCGTGCATTATTTGCCGACTCTGGGACTGGTTGGAAAAAGCGGAGAGGTGGTCAGTGCATGACATGGTGTCGTGGTATGAAAGAAAGCTGCAAAGGACTGGCTTCTGTCGGTCCTTCACGACTCCCTGGCCGGGGTCTGAGAGATGGTGCTACACAGTGGCTAGATACGTTATCAGATTTGGCTCAGAATAGAAGCCAGTGGCGATCCTGCTGTAACCTTCTTTTACTTTCTTCATAAAAAGTGGTTGTGTCTCCCTTACTTGAAAGATTTCTTCTGATTGTACCTTTCCGTTCCATCGTTACGACCACACTACCTTACACCAATCTCTTCGTTATCGTTCTCTTTTTCTTTTGTGCTCCTTAGTTTTTTTTTTGATCTCTCTTCGAATTTTCATTGTTTTGTGTGGCGCATATATATTGGCGCTCTCTTGTACCAATATTTATGTGCTCAAATAAATAAAATAAACATAGTGGCTAGAGACGCTATCAGATATGGCTCAGAATAGAAGCCAGTGGCGATCCTGCTATATCCTGTTACTTTCTTCATAAAAGTGGTTGTTTCTTTCTTATTGAAAGATTTCTTCTGATTGTACCTTTTCGTTCCCTCATTATAACTATGATTATTACTACAACCTCTTACACCAATCTCTCCATTATTGTTTTTTTACGTTCCTCATTGTTTTTTTCTTCTTAAATTTTCATTATGTTTTGTGGCGCATATATATTTCGCGCACTCCTGTACCAATATATATGTGTTCAAATAAATAATAATTAATTATCTTTAGTCCTTAAGAATAGGTCAAATCTCCTCTTAAACGAATCCTGGGAAGTCGCTTGGACTAGCTCAGCCGGCAGCGAATTCCAGCATATGACAGCTGTTAAAGAGTAGAAGTTGTGTCTGCAGTCCGTTCTGCTGTGTTGTGTCTCTAGTTTCTGGGTGTTACCCCTTAGGTTTGGGTTGGAGCTAAACTTAAGTAGGTGTTTAAGGGAATGTCCTAAAGTGTTAAAGATATTGTAAGCCATTAGAAGGTCACCTCTAATATACCTATGCTCTAATGGGTGAAGGTTAAGTAATTGGAGTCTCTCTTCACATGGTTTGAATTTGAGTCCCCTGTAGCCGTAAATAAATCCCCAAAATAAATAGCTCTGTAAGTTCTCGACATTGGATGCTGACCACATGTTTTAATGAACTTGTAGAACTTATGATCTACTATGATATTAGTACTGCTCTAATAATAGACCTAATCCTAAATCTGTGGATTTGTCATGATATGACTGCCTAATCTATAAGATCTTACGTGGAAGTCACACCATCAACTACA